AACCTAAGAAATTACAAAGAAGACTGGATGTCTTTTCTACTTCAGAAAAAAAAACACATTTGCAGTCTATTCATTTAATCAGTTTCATGCTGCAAGAACTACGTTATATACTATTGATAAGAGTTAAAACCATGATGTTTAAATGCTTACAGATATATGAAGGACTTATGTCAAAAATAACTTTATTCATATTACGACACCCTTCTCAAGGATGCTGATGTTTATTTAATGATGTTCATTTACTTGATTAAAAATTTAAAGCCTCGCAAACGGTAAAATCGCTGAATATTGGTAGTTCGTTAGGTTAGGTTATTTAATTATGGCAAAGCCTCGAGGGCTATCTGCCTAAGGGAAGGGATGCCTTCGTGGAAGACTTTCTGAAGGAAACTAGCTCGTATACATGTTACACATGGGGAAAACCACGAAAACATCCATGCAGCCAGCCCGTCCGCGGGATTCGAACCTCGAACCGAATTACCAGTGTTCAGCGACTTTACTGCTCGGCCGCTGGTGGGCATTGTTAGTTCGGCCTAGGTTGGATCTCAAGCGAACCAGAAAGTCCTCCACGGAGGCATCCCTTTCTTAGGCAGATAGCCGTAGTATGGTTTGCCATATTATACCACACTATCTATGATTAACAATTTTAAATAAATATGAATCAATATAAGCGGAGAAGTGTATTATCTGTTCCCGTGCACATATTACATGGAACATTGATTGCCAGAGCCCCCACAGACTAGAGATTGGACTTCTATTTTCCACCCCAATTTTGAGGCAGTGCACCCCGGCGGGGATCCGGGGGTCTCCCACCTCTCTCCACTCCCACCAATCCACATGAGAGCACTTTCGGCTCGCCGCATATTTAGAGTGACTTCATGCCGCACCGAGACTATACATTTATAATCGTCCATGTTTTCTGCGGGACTCGAACCCGGGCCACTCGGTACCGTGGTAGGCTCTACTAACCACTACACCGTTTGAGCAACCGTGTATTATTTAAAGTCTACGCCGTCTGAGCGACGGTGTATTATTTAAAGTTTTAAATAAACAACCCAGTTCGTCTGAAAAGTATTTAAATTTATTATTATTATTATTATGTTACGTACCATTGGAGGTATTCTTTTGACGTAATTAACTTTACTAAATATTAATCAACATTTACATGATTTTCAAAATTATTATAATGTTTAAAATTTTCTGTATGAGTTTTCCCAGAAAGCAAGCTCGTGAAAATTGTGTACAAAATTTTTATTCCTTGAAATAGACATAATTTCACATAAATAATTAAACTCATAGTATCTTAAACATTATTAATGGGCCAAATAACATTTTTATGCCAGATTAAGCGTCATGGCACATCTTTGCTTGGAATATGAGATTAGTTCAATTGACCGAATCTCTTTCGAAAGCACGACATTGAAAAAACTTAAATTTTAGGTTTTCATTTGTAATTATTCATTTGAAATTTCATAAAGTTGCCTGTATTTCTATGAGCTCTTTATGTTTCTTAAAATTATTTTATGGTACTACATTTTAATTATACTGCCTTGTAGATATTGCTAATGAAGTAAAAATTGGGAAATATTTCTTTGCGCATCTTAAGAATTGACACGTTTTTCTTATTTGTTCAAGGAATTAAGCAGCGATTCAGGTAGTCGGAGTTATAGTGTATATTTTTCGCCTTATGCAATGTTAATTTACCCGAAAATATACGTATATTTTCCTTTATCGTAACATACCCGAAAACATACGTTTACGGATCCAAAGGTACACATATTTTTTTCCGCTTAATGCCACATTTTTCTATACCCAAAAGTATGCGTATATTTTCCGTATTATTTGATGTCACGTCTATATATCTAAAGATATACTTATATTTTCCGTATTATGCGAAGTCAGAAAATAAAATTCGCTCTTTTAACAGGGAAAAAAAAAAAAAAAAAAAAAAAAAAAAACCGAAATGTTTCAGATTTTAAATTACGTCCAAAGGGGCGTTTTTTTAACGTTTTGCGTGCTTCCTTTATTTATTAAATATCATGTTTTTTGTGCTTAAACCATAAAATTTAGTTCAATGTCGCAAAATAATTTAAAAATGATCATATCTTTAGAATTTCCTATACACAGTTCGACGCGCTGGAGATAAAAAGGTCTTCCCCCGTAGAGTGTTGCCATTGCTCGCTTTTAAATCCTTGAGTTTGTTACTCAAAAATTCGTTAAAGTTTTACAAAATATAAAATCGATAATAAAACAAATTCCAAATTTGGTCTTCCACATGCCCATATTCGTAGAAGGATTACGCCATTCAAAATTGGATGGCTCTAGGTACCGTTGTTTTATCACAATGCGAGAAATATACATACATTTATGCAGATTTTTCATTATTTAATTTCTTCAAATATAATGCAGGACTCTAACATTTTGTGGCAACAGTTTGAAAAGTGAACCGACATTTATAGGAGTCCGACGCAAAATGCCAAAACGAAAGTAATAGTCCTTCGGGACTCAAATCCCTTTGGACTAAAAAAAAAAGAGGGTACACCAATGGTGACACCATTAAGGAATGGAGTTACACCCAAAGTAAATATTACACCAGTTTTGTTCGAATTTCCTTGTCGGTCCTCCGAAAGCAAATTTTACGCATCGCGTAGTTGTGAAAAATGTGCAGGTGAAATAAATTGTTGGAAAATACGATATCACTGCATCCCGTCATGCGTGAGGCGACCACTTTAACACAAGTCGGCGAAGATCTTTCGTGTAAATAGCTCGCCTAATCTGTCGTCTGAATTCTTCGGCAATTCCGCACGGGTGGTCGTAGCTAAATCGTTCTGTTAATGAATTTCGTACGTAAACGATAGAATGTTCTTTCACTTTGGGATGAAATGTTATCCAAAGAAGTTAATTTTCAATGTCTTTATTGTCACAATCAGGTTCAAATCATTCTTCATGATGATTTCGACTTTCGTTCGTTGATACTGCTGCAAGCTATCATCTCATGGAGATCTCTGTAAATAATCACTTCCAAATCAATAGTTAGAAATTTATTAGAATTAATAATGGCACACAGCAAAAATTAATAGGCGTAAATAATTGAAGAACTCGAATGCCAAGTAAATACTTCCTAACGGGAAATACAGTTGAACAGTTGGAAATTTATTATAATTAATAATGGCACACAGCAAAAATTAATAGGTGTAAATAATTGAAGAACTCGAATGCCAAGTAAATACTTCCTAACGGGAAATACAGTTGAACAGTTGGAAATTTATTATAATTAATAATGGCACACAGCAAAAATTAATAGGTGTAAATAATTGAAGAACTCGAATGTAAAGTAACTACTTCTTAACGGGAAATACAGTTGGAACAGTTGGAAATTTATTATAATTAATAATGACACACAAAGAATAAATAGGTGTAAATAATAAGAACTCGAGTGTAAATACTCCTACCTTAACGAAATACAGTTGGAACAGTTGGAAATTTATTATATTAATAATGGCACACAGCAAAAATTAATAGGTGTAAATAATTGAAGAACTCGAATGTAAAGTTACTTCTAACGGGAAATACAGTTGATAACAGTTGGAATTATTAATAATGAACATGAAAAATACACAAAGAAACTCGAGTGTAAGCAATAAAACATAAAATAAAGAAGAACAGTTGGAAATTGTTATAAAATAATGGCACACAGCAAAATAATTGGGTAAATAATGAAGAACTCGAATGCCAAGTAATATACTTCCTAACGGGAAATGTTGAACAGTTGGAAAATTATTATAAAATAATGGCACACAGCAAAAATTAATAGGTGTAAATAATAAGAACTCGAGTGTAAAGCAAATACTTCTTAACGAGAAATACAGTTGGAACAGTTGAAAATTTATTATAATTAATAATGGCACGCAACAAGAATTTATAGATAACTGAAGAACTCGAATGTGAAGCAAATACTTCTTAGCGGGAAATACAGCTGGAACAGTTGGAAATTTATTGTAATTAATAATGGCACATAGCAAGAATAAATAAGTGTAAATACTAATTGAAGAACTGGAATGTAAAGCAAATACTTCTTAACGGGAAATATTGCCAATTCCCCGGAATCACACTGCCCGTAAGTCAGTTAACTCTGTTTTAAGTGCAAAACCCTCAGACTTGAATAACAACTGAGTGCTCCTCATTTTCCATGATTAAACGGTGTTATAACCAGGGTTCCTGGGCGTAATGCCCTACTCCTAATTTAACAAACTTACAAATTTCGAAATAACTTCCAAAGCAACTTAAGTGATTTTAGAATTTTCACATATAATACATAATAAATTCCAAGAAAAATAGAAATATGAAAATAGCTTCATAAATCAAGAATAATCTGCTTCTTTACTTCGTTATAGGAAGTAAGGAAGTAAGGAAGCATTGTAATTGCTAAAAATTTTGAGCATCATATTTCAACGAAAATACCCATTTTGACCGTTCTCGAATCCATTTGAATGATTTCTTTTCGTGTCATCTGTATGTGTGGCTTCTATGTGAAAGAATTAGTGGCGATCACTCCAGTAAGAGACTTAAAAGGCAGAGTAGCTCCATAAAACTGAAGATATCTCTTTTTTTTTTTTTTCCATGTAAATAAAATGACAACTGTTTCGCCTACATTCACTTGAACTTTCCATTTTATTAACCAGATCTCTAGTTCCTGTATATGATTTTGTAAATATTGGGTGACTTACATTTTGAGCAAGGATCGCTATGTTATGCTGGTTGTACATGGGATGTCCTTCATATAAATATTGAATAATGTGGACTCCAAAAGGAATCTTGTGGCACACCAGATGCGATAGCCCGGCGGGTTGAATATGTATCTGAGCTGTAAACGACAAAATGCATACCTGTCGGATAGAATTTAATGATGTGAACTCCTCCTCACACTTTGAGCCATATTTATAACGTGTTGCACAGACTATTGGAAGCTTTGAGGAAAAAACAGTCGCCCCAGAACTTCGAAAATGCGTTTTTATGAATCTATGGTAAGAAAATCTGCAAATTACGGAGAAATCACCAAATACCGTATTTCCTAGCATATTCCCCTTCCCCTTCTTTTAAACTTTTCATCGTCCGAAAATCCAGAGGGGGAATTATGTGAATCATTTAATTTCCGAAGGATCCGATTGCTGTAAAAATATAACAAAGGAAAAAGAGTCCTGGATAAACTACAAACGACTATTCCATTCGAATCTCTCCCCTTCTTGTTGTTGTCTGCGCTATTCCTCAAGCCTCGGATCATCCATAAATAATTAGAGACGGTGAATATGCAGCCGACTCGGCGAAACCGTAGACGGAATATCGGTTTGTGTCTTGTATTAAGCCGGCATAGAGTTCAGAAGTTAGAAGACAAAGGTTCGGCGGGACCTTCGCAGGTAGTTTGCGAGGGTTGTTCGTTGTGAGTAAGTCGAAAACTGTCACGACATGGATGAATCCATTTTTAAAATTTAGTCGAGCTCGTTTCCTGAACGCATAGCGAAAGGAGAAAATGATGCGAATGTTTTTAAAATTTTCAGAACCTGGCATTAGAAATTTAGGGTGAAATACGCAAGAAATACGGTACTGGAAAACTGTCGAAAGAAAATGTCGCTGAAAAATGTCTAAATAAATATACATGCATACAGATTCTTCGCTGGATATACGCCGAATTAATATCGGAGAGCTATAAATAGAAACAAGAAACAAAGAACACATGTTTTTCTTTCTATTTTTTTTATTTATTTGAGGATGTTAATTATAATAAGTCAGTTTCTTTATCGTCATTATTTTTAAACAATTTTCTTTCTTCTGGGCCTTCTTTATTTCGTTCCCATGCTTATTATTCTCCGTCTAATACAGCTAATTTGTCTTTTGTATTCGAAACCCCCTTTTTCTTTCGCAATTAAATATTCGGGAAATTTTACACCTCTTTGTCCATTCTTTGCTAATGACAGCAGTTTTGACACCATTCTTAAAAGTAGTACAAATTCATTATCATGCTTAAATTGCGATGTTCTTTTTATCGAAAGAAAAGCATTGAATGAAAAACGTACAACTTTTTTTCCTCGTTGTTACAATGTTATGGTTTCGAAATGTATTATCTAGTACAGAGCTGGAGAACAAATTGAAAAATTAAAGCTTTAAAGGTTTAAGTCATATAAATTAACATTAAAAAGAAATAACTTATCGTAGAAAACAACAAAGAAGTAATTTTCGTAAGCATTTTTTAAAATATAATTCTAAGCTTTAAGTATTTGAAGGTTTTTTTTTTTTTTTTTTCTCTTTTTGGGTCAGTTTACGAGCAAGGTCAAGGAATAAGTCCGTCGGGTTCAAAACCAATCATCATGCGGAACTCGTGTAGGTCAGCATTCGCAAGTATCATTCAAATTAAAATTAATTACTTTCGGAAAAAAAATAGACACGTTTTATTCATCAGAAGTTGAAAACATTATAAAAACGTGACCTGAAAACGTTATATAAAGATTTAAATCAGGCATATGAGACAATATTTGAATCAAGTTGTATTTGAGAGGCTCAGCTTTCATATTTAATTTTCCAAAAAAATACATGTAATTTATTCATTAAGATTACAAGGTATTTTTTTCCTGCTGTCTGCGTGCTTTCGTGGTGTAACTGGAAGTTCATCCGTCACGTAATCCGGAGATCCAGAGTTGGAATCCCGGCGAGGGCATTGCGGGTTTTTTCAGTTTCCTGGTACTGAAAATTCTAAAAAGATTCTACAAGATTTGAAAACGTTACCAAAACATTTATGTGTGACATATGAGATAGTATTTGAAGGAATCTGCTTTTCTGCTGCGCAGCTCTCGTAATTAATACTCCAGAAAGTAAAAGCATTAACAGTTGAAAATACTGAAAGAAAAATTATATCTGGCATATAAGACAGTATCGGGATCAAGTTGCATTTGTGTTGCGAAACTTATTTAATTCTAGGGAAAAAAAAAAAAAAAAAAAAAAAAAAAAAAAAGACATATTTCACTCATTAAAACTGGAAAACTTTCGTTGTGATACTGTGGCTCCGGTGAAAATTTTTTTTAACATAAGTTAAAATAAAGTGCAATGAAAAGTGTAAATACAAAATAAACGAAATTATCACTAGAATACTTACAAATAATAAGTGTATTTAAAACTCAAATCGAATTGGAAGTAATATGTTGATTAAAGTTAAGAGAAGCTTTAAACATTTGAATAAAAATACAGCTGTTATATAAGACAAGCAAAATACAAAAAATACAAAAATGCGGTAAGTGCTAAATTAGTCCAATTCGAATCTCATTATTGACTCGTCAAGGGAAATACATAATGGTTTTTCGAATCCAGCTAATTCCATATCGCGTTTCGTCAAAGCAGAAAATCGAGATTGTACACGAAACAAGGTAAGTGTGTATATACACCCACCCCCTTACCCAGCTTAACAGTCCTTATCCGGCTTTTATTTTTGCAATTCCAATACAAAAGTGTTTTAAATGACAAAATATGCATGTTTTGCAGTGAAAGATGTTACAAAAATTTAATTTTCGGCAAATAGCGAAAATATAAACTCTTAATGCGATCTACCGGTTCCTATGCTTATATATATATATATAAGTTTTATATTCGTTATGAAAAGATAAAATTAGAAGAAGTAAATAAAGATTAAGCAAGATATTTAATTTCAAAATTTGCAATTTTTGACGTCATTTTCAACTTGCCTGGAGAGATTGGTTAATTAGGTTAAAGTAATTTGAAATAATAAGTTTAAATGAATTGTAGCAAAAAGTGTGTATCATTTAAATAGGCCGTGCATGGACGTCATATGATGTCCACATCATTACATTGTTTTTTTTTTTTTTTCTTTGCTTAATGTTACCATTCGGCTAATGGTATCAAAATATCGGTGGGCAAACAGGATCGCATTAAACGGGGCCTTCTGTATTGAAAAATTTTCTAGACGTATTTCAACATTCTCTCAAGAAGATTTTGGTAATAGGGGTTAAGAAAACATATGAAAAATTAAGCAAATATTTTCGCAAAACATGGGTGCTTTTCATTGTTGTATGAATAATACGAAATCCTGTCAAGCAAGTATAGGGTAAAAAAGAAAGAAACTGGCAAGGAAAGAATTCCCTGTGGAAGGTTCAAAGTATTTTTTTACTTCGACACTATTTATTTTACCACATCGGCAAAAAAGAACAATGAAATGGAAAAGGTTGTAGGAAAATACATCTGGGAAGGTAATGGAATGTTTGATTGTTTTCTGCTTTGTCATGACTCGAATTCTTTCACATGTGATCATCGCAGACGATAATGATATGATTCTTCTCGCACGCCGCTCTGCTTCCTCCAACGTAGATTTCAAAACTGAGAACGGGGGCGTAGAATAGGTGTAGATGGAATTTAGCATTTCAGAAGCAAAAAATAAATGCAATCCGGCTATTTAGATGAATATCGTGCCGCGGCTCGTAGGAATTTATGAACTTATTCGCTGTCGGTTGAACAGAAAAGGCAACTTAAATGTAAGATTGTTACAAAACAGCATTCGCCTTCCCCCTATAAAGGGTTAACAATGAACTGTTTATAGCTTTCATTTTATTGCGTTAGTTAAATGATTGCAATACACGCCGTTTAATGTGATGACGAGTATGTTATCTCGCTCGGATATTGTTATCGAATTGTCGAATTCGGATATTGTTATCAAAATCCCGCCCGTTTGTATAAGAAAACATGGAAAATACTTCGCTTATTGGTATCAAGAGATCGGTCTAATAGGATAAAAATGTTACAAAATATCTTTTTATACTAATAAACAAGCCATACAACTAAAAGCCACTAAATAAGCTGAAAATGCATTTTAAAAATTGAAAAGTTATAGAGAACTTATAGCCAAGTAAATTATTTCGTTTCCAAGCATTTTAGTTTTGATTTTAGTCAATCAATTAAAATGTAAGATGAGGTGAAAAATGTTTAGTTCACGATCACGGAATCCGAGCGCACAGAAAAATGGGGCTTGTAGGTAGATGTAACGACGTCTGTGAGAAAAGGAGACAGACAACAACGAAATTGAAATTGATTTTGGAAGAAACAATGGAAAGCGTGCTTGTGTAACGGTGCACAGCGGTTGACAATGCCAGGCCTTGCGTGAAGAGCTGTCCTCTCGCACGAAACTCTAAACAGATGTCTCAACAGGTGGTGAACATTCTCTTTCGCTCTTCATTATGAACTCGGTGATGCTTAGACCAGCGGTCTCAGACTTAAATTGCATGCGAGCCGAATTCACGATCTGAAAACAGCTGACAGGCAATTTTGTTTTAACCGAATGAATACTTTTTATTAATAAAATAAAATAAAAAAACCCTTAAATTTTGCTTGCTAAATGTTTATAAAAACATGCGTAAACGGTAATAATAAATCGTAAAGGGAATATTCCAGATTATATTATTAATTTCCTATCTCAAATCTTAAGTTTGGCGGCTGCAAGAGAGTTTTGTCAGTTACACTTTGTAATTCAAATTAAACTTTCAGATTGACATCTGTTTCAAATATTTCTAATATATTTACTGTTTACTGCATAATATCCTTTAATTTAAACTAAAGCAAATTATGAAAAGTTTCTAAGCTTTCAGGGAAGACTGTCGACGTGGAACAAAATTTAAGAGAAAATAGGGACAACCTTGTCCCTTTCTCTTATTTATTGCGATTTTCCTCGACGCATAACTAATAAACACGTTTGTATGTAAATAAAATTACTAAACTTCTGAATTTTTTACTACACCTTGATATTCGATGGCGTTTAGAATCTGATAAAGTTCATGGCTTGGGGGGGAAAAAAATATTAGAAATTCAGTGGGACAAAACCTTGAGATTAAATTATGGCAGCTCAGTCCGTTTCTTATTTATTAAACGTTTCTTCGTTGAATAATTAAAAAACGTATGTGTTTTTAAGTAATTAATTATAAACATCTTTATTTCTTACTACAGATTGACATCTGATGGCGTTTCGAATAAGATACATTTTTTTGGGAGAAAAATTACTGGTAATTAACTTCATTAGGATGATTTATTAGGTAGATGCCTATCGTCAATCGGTTCTGCATCTTTTTTTTTTTTTTTTTTTTTTTTTTTTTTTTAAATTTCAAATGGCTAAGCAAAAAGTTACAAAGTTCTAAAATCTTATAAGCAAAGGTTACAAACGATAGCACTAAGAACAAAAAGACCGAAGTCATGGCCTAAAGAACGTTTCTTGCCTCCCAGTATCTTGACTCTTCCGTAAAACCACGAAGGACCCCTCATGGGAGTATGTGACCTTTGTCCATTTCTTCTTCAGAATCACAAAGTGGGCAAATAGGATCATTGAAAGCAAGACAGGACTTAACATTCTGCAACTTTTTAAGGCTGTGCGAGTCTGAAGCTCTCGTAAGATATTACCTGTAAATAATAAATACATTTTTTAAAAGCAATTTAATCTTTCAATAAGAAATGGCAAGATTATAATGTTGTAGTAAGCTGGTATCGCTTTGCAAGGAAGTCCACTTGTTCATTGCCCCAAAGGCCCCAATGGCCAGGCACCCACTGGAGAACGATTTATTTCCCGGTTAAAGTGAGAGTTTTCAGGAATTCTTGACAATGCAAAATTTCAGGTGTTAATGGGTGTTCAACAGAGCTAATTGATAGAATAGCTGCATGAGAATTAGAAAATATGACTGCCTTTGCAAACTTGTAATGGATAGCTAATAATTGCTGTAGGGCTATACAGATGGCTACTACTTCGCCATCAAAAGAGGTAGTAATGTATCCTACAGGGGCGTAGAAAGAAAAAAGATTCGAAAACACACCAGCCCTAACTTTAAAGTGGCAGTCAAGCTGAGAACCGTCAGTAAAAATGCGCAGCCACTGTTTCTGACCCTGCGCACGCTGATACTTGCTCTCAGAATCCCTGTAATTTTATTTGACAGTATGTTTTGTAGTCTTATCCGCATAGTGATAAGTCGTGATATCACGTTGTGGTTTCGCTTTTGTGACGTCATATTTACTCCATCTATTCTAACCTCCTTAGCTCACTATAAACGGCATATCACTTTTCAAATTTTTGCCACCAAATATTATCAGCCTCTATTAGTCTTATAGAAATTAAATAATAAAGAATCTGCAGCAATGTGTTGCTACGCTACGAAAGCAATGTGTTGCCTGTAGTGTATCGGTAAATTGCATTCTCGGATTATTTTTATTTTGTGTATTCAGTTTGTATTTGCAATTTTGTCTTAGCATTTCACACATTGCATTTATTGTTGCATTTATTGTTTGAATTAGATTTGTGCAGATTCTTCGTTAATCTACCAGACATGGCAGGTTTTTCACGTTATTCTTTTATTTACGTTCCAGCTGTTTGTAATCTGATTTACAGTTGATGCATTCGATCTTTAGAAATCCGGGTTTTTGTTCCCCTCCTTCTCCTTTGTTCTTTCGTATCTCTTTTGGGCACTGCGATTAAGACGTATTCATATAAGGTGCACCATGAGGTATTTGCAAGCTAATTGAGGAGGAAGCGCGAAGTTGTCCGGCTCAGTTACAATCAAATATCTTAATATTACCAAGTATTCTAATTGGAATATAGGTTTCATTTAAAGAAATAATATTTTAAAAGTTACCAGCAGTAGACCCATGATTGCTTTTCATTTTTTTTTCGATTTTCGATCAATAAAATTAGTTAAAAAATCTGACGTGGACATCACATGGCTTCCTTGTATATGGTTATTAAATTAAACCCATTTTTCTGCACTTGGTTTAAACTCATTTCCTCAAATTATTCTAATTTGACTAACCGATCCCTGAAGGCAAGTCGAAAAGCACATCAAAAGTCACTAATTTTGAAATTAAATATCCCCCGTTAAATAGTCAAATTTCTTCTTATTTTATTTTTTCATTATATGCACACACATATATCTATATCTATCCATCTATATACATACTTTTGGTACCGTATATTGCAATAAAAAAGGTGCACAACTAGATGTTATAGCAGTAACTAGATGTTATCATTTTTGAGTTATGCGAGATACTTATATAGGCACGCACGTACAGACGTCACGAAAAAAATCCGTTTTAAGCCCATTTTAATTCTATTTTACAATCCGTTTTGGGGGGGGGAAAAACAGTCCTTTATTCTATCCGTATGTACAGACATTACTCAAGAAAATAATCCAAATGAATTCGAAAACGGTAGAAATCGATATTTCCTTGGAAATAGGATATCTGAAATTACAATACTTCTTTTACTTCGTACAAGGAAGTAAAAAGGGGAGGAATACCCGAGGAAATGCGGAAAATGTACTGATAGTTCAAAACTCTTGGTTTTCAACCCCTTTCACCATTGCTAGCTGATTCGCTCCCTCCCTTCCAAATCTCTAAAAATACATATAAGTTTATTTAACTTTAGATTATTTTTTAACGTATTTAAAAAGTACAGAATATTTTAATAAATACCAGAACCTGAATAAAATAAATGTTTTACATTCATAAATCGAAACTAAATAATTAACAGCTGAATAAAAGGCTGACCATATGCACCCCTGAAAGTCTGAAATCCCACTCTGGTTCAGAATTAATTGGGCGAGGGGGGGCGAGAATGTTTCTAGCTAAAATACGAGGCCAATGAGTATTAAACAACAACGTATTTTGCACTGAGTGATTCTGTAAAATGTTTATGCCATAACATTAAAACTAAATTTTTTCTGTGCTGCTAATTAAATTTTTTCTGGAGTTTCATTTTCTTTCTCAAATGGTATTTGTTTCGTTTTGCAGGTAGAACTGCAGCACGTTTTAGGTGTTACGGTTACTAGTAACTCAGCTCTCGACAGCGATCCTCAAACAGGAACTGTAGCTTATCCTGCTGGGTAAGTATATTGTTGTAAATATTTTAATACTTTTTAATGTATTTTGAATTTTATATTGTTTTATTTATTGATTTTTGAATAATAATTTTATGGTTTATTTTGTGTTTAATGTAATATGTGGCCACATGTCTGGCATTTATGTATTTATTTCTTGCATAAAACTGTAATTTTAAGTGCAACTGCTTTGGAACAGTAAAAGTAACTCATTTAGACGGAGAGGTAATTTTGGGCTAATTTGGCGATTTGCTGGAAGATTCCCGAAAACACATTTTATAATCCCTACGACCGATTCTTCCAGAATTTTCCAGAGCCTATGCTACAAGGTAATAACTACAGGGAGAGCTAGGGAATTTGAGTAGTGAATCAATGGCGAATCAGCTATGAGACTTAGCGGTTACTTGAATGACGAGCTAGGGTTTGTCTGAAAGTGATTTTAAGAACTTTACGATTTATTATATCGTGTGTTAAGGAGGATTTGCTAAATACTCGTGTTCTCTTTGAGTTCTTTCACGCCATTATTGTGCTGTTTGTGTTTATATTCCTAATAAATTGTTTATGTCTTCCTGCTTATCTGGAATCATGAAAGGAACATCAAGGACCCCGTAGCTCCCCATAATATCATAAAGCTTATGACGCATTTCCAATTTGCATAAACATCCACAGCCTTGGATATTTATTCAAAAAAAAAAAAAAAAAAAAAAAATGGTTCTCCTTGAATATTTATTCACGTTCAATAAAATCCATTTAGAATGTCCAAACTTTGGTTAACTTTTTTAGTAGTTGTGTAGCAATTATTATTGCAGTAGACGCCGCTTAATGCGATCGCGGTCAATGTTATCATTTGAATAATTTTATGATTTACTAAAGTCCCACCCTTTTGTAGGCGAAAACGTAGAAAATATATCGCTTATTGGGATAAACTACTCAAAGTGGTGGAGGGGCTGTTCTGGCAGAATGGGCGAAGTACGTCGGGAGTTTTTCTAGTAATAGGGCCACCCTAGGCGTAAAGGCCATTATGCCCAGCTAACACAGTTAGGCACTCGGGGCTCAGTCTTCTTCCTCTGGTGCCCCAAGCCTTTTGGCGAATTGAAGTTACTCTTTTCCCTTTACCATGAATCCATTACTATAACACTCTCTCTAGTTACAATGATAAACATGGAACCTGTGCCTACCTTCATGCTTGGACAGACAACAACGCTTGAAGAAGCTCAGCCTCTTTTCATTTGGTAAAACTCTGGGACTTCCCTCTACAGATGTGGGACCTCATTCTCTATATCATCTGGGTTTGAAACTTGGATTCATTTTGATGAGACCCTTTTGACTAGTGTGAAGAAACAGCCGGCTCTCATGAAGCAATTAGCCGTGGAGACTATGAATGAGATCCTACAATCTTCTTTGAAGATATACGCTGATGGCAGCAGAGGAGATAAGGGAATTTCTGGCAGTGGAATGTTCATACCAAGTTCTACTCCCTCTGTGGAATTTAAGATAAGAAACCCCGACTTATGTTTGATTTTTAGATCGGAGCTTATTCCTGTCAGGAGGGGCTTACAATACGCGTATCAAATTGAGAAAAAATTACATGCTGTCTGGATTCTAACTGATAGTCGTGTTTCGATATTTTTGGCTTTATGGAGATTGTCTAGCTTTGCTGGGCAGTCTGGGATTAGTAACAAGAACGAGAACAATTTGGTTAATTATTATCGAAAAATATTTTCTTTTAAAGTAAAGTTGCCAGATAAAGTCAAAATAGATTATAAAAATTGCTGGATTTTTTTAGGTTTTAGTCAGCTATTTAAAAGTACACAAAAAAGCAACGTTAGCACGGCTTAGATTTTGAATAACTCGACGGATTTGCGTGTTCTCTTTGCATGAAAGAGGAATGTCCTCCGAGGACTAAGATCAGGGGTAGAGCATCTGTCAAATAATTTCCAGAAATGTTATAAACAGTTCATAAATGAATTATCGCGTTAAAACGGTATAAAATTCCTAAAACAAATTGCATTTTCCTATTTAAAATGATGTAAAACTACTTATTTATATATTTCTAATTGTATTTGTATTGAATCACTTAGATTCCATTGCTATTTTGGAGGATATTTTTTTAATCATCTTTTGTTATTGTTGTTGTCGTGTCCATATTACATGGAACAATGGTTTATCATCGTTTAATATCATTATTTGATTAATGTCATCAAAATACCCGTGGACAGACGGAATCTCATTTAGCAGAGCCTATCGTAGACTGCTTTTTAAATTCCCGTAAATTCATTTGCTCGCATTACTGTTTTTGTGTAATGGTGTAACATTGTGTACTGTGGGGTGATGCCTGTGGTGTACTAATGGACTGACTCCACACAACGATCGGTAAATGATAAAAATTTCCACTTGGTTAGGTTGCGTGTTACGTACTGCATATAGAACAACAACAGATTTGTTATAAGTCTACCAGAACATCTATTAACAATACAATTACGACAATAGGGGAAAATTCTAAAAGGTTTCAGATTTTAACGGTAGCTCAAAAGGTTTTCTTAAGGCTTTTTCACCCTCTCGCTGAGCTCGCAATCTAGCATTCGGTTGTTACACCCACTCCTGCTAACCCTCCTTTTTTTTTTTGTCTTTTTAACTTTAAGCATAATTTTCTTACGCCATATAAAATTCAAGAGCAAAATTACAAAAAGTTTAAAGCAGCGTAGCAGTATACGTATAGAATTTCTGATGCAGCGTTAAGTGTTGCATATATTTTTCTGTTTTCTTTTTTCACTCTTTAGTCTTGCGCACTGAAGATAAAAATACTTTATTCCGTACAGTGTTACCAATGCTCACTTTGAATTCGTTGAGTTTATTAATAAAAATTTACAAAATATGAAACATATATTAAAACAAACTCGAAATTAAAATTCGGGCTTCCAGGTGTCCATGTTCGGGTGGTTATTCAAAACTGGGTGGCCCTAGGTACCACTGTTTTATCACACTGCGAGAAACATGTAAACATTCATGCAAAGTCATCATTATTTATTTTCTTTAAATGTAATATAGGGCGATAGTATTAGGTGGCAACAATTTGAAAAGTAATACACCGTTTACAGTGATTCAACACAAAATGCCGTTTCGAGACTAATTGAAAAGTAATACACCGTTTACAGTGATTCAACACAAAATGCCGTTTCGAGACTAATATCCCATTCGGAACTAGCGTCACATTTGGGATAATTAATATTGAACTCATAAGGAAAGATAAATATTTTCCTAATTATGTGACGATCTTTCTAGCAACAAGTCTCTCTCTAGTCGAGAGTCTGAGAGCGTCCTGCTTTGTTTGAAACATTTACAGACTGAATTATAACGCCTTCTTAATTTTTCGGTTGTAGTTTACGTCGTGTGATTCTTTGTAGTCGAAGACGATGTCAGAGGAACTAGAGATCTTGGCGTTACATTAGATAGGTTACTCACTTGGTCCCTCACATAACACAGTTTCTTGCTAAGTTCCGGGCACGTAAACTGACACTAACTCCGTTAACTGAACGAAACTCGGTTTTATCTACTGGCAATAAAATCCTCATTTATAAGACCCTTTTGCGACCCATTCTCACTTGCGCCTGCCCTGTATGGGGCTATGCATGTAAAACCAGCATTAAGAAGTTGCAAGTTGCACAAAATATTGTACTTCCGCAAGCGGTGAACGGTCGGTGCTTCATTAGGAACTCGGCGATTCACCCGTGAGCTCGAAATTCCCGAGATTCAGCTTTATATTGCTGAACTTGCTGAGAAATCCTTTGCAAATATTCCTGATGTTAGTAACAGAACAATACCGGTTCTGAATGGTAGCCACTGAAACAGAAAAGGAGCGCTTGCGGTCTTAACGCATCTCACTGCCTAACTTACTGTACCTTGTCACTATTATTTATCTAATTTTACAGTGACCCCACTCTGTGGTCTCTTCGCATTAAAGCTTTTCCTTATCCTGTAGATAACTGTATATATCTTATCATTATTTATGTATATACTGTTACTATGATAATTGCATATGAGTGTTCTGCGTAAAGGCATATTTTTATACCATCGATAATGTCATATAATTGGTTATGCACGCACTTTACTCTTCAACTTCGGCCTGCAGAGCAGGTGGTGTTTCCTTCGGATTCGTTACGTGTACCCCGTATCAAAGACTTTACTATCCTGTGAACTGTTCCTGCTAATTCTTTGACACTATTAGGACTTCTCATGTATTCGAAAATTGGCAAATTACTACACCAAGCTAGCGATTACACGCGGGAACCCTTTTGGGAACGACTAGAGTTTGCCTGAGTCGAGGAACTATAGAGTCATTGAGTCCAAAAAAATCTTTCACCCCTTTATTCGATGGGTCTTGATGAGAGAGACAGTGCAGATAGCCGAAGTTTCTTGACACTGCTCGTGAAGTCATGACTCTTGTAACGTGAAGTAGAGACATTAGTGAATACGTTATTCCTCGAGTACGTCGTCTTACACTTCGTAACAAATAGAAGACCGGGATTGTGAGGAGACAGCGCATGCGAATTTCTTTTCTTCGCGTCCCCCGCCACATTCTGCTTCCAATATCATTGTTGTATACTGTATAGTTTGTTTATTTATTTGTTAGTCAGCCACGATGAAATTAATTTTTCATTGATTAATGGCCCGAAGCTTTTTTCTAGTTAAAAACTTTCAGGGCGGCAGGGATTGCACCTATTGTTGGCTTCAACAACCTTAAAGATGACAAAACAAGTTTGCCAAAATCCGAGTTTTGAATGGGTCCTACGCCCTCCCACCCTTCTTTCTCTATCACCGAGCTCTCGACAGAATTTTTGGATCGATAGTATTTCAAGTGCTCATATCCCGCAGAAACATTGTGTATTTGCAGAAGAGGAGGAAGTGAACGAGAAATTAGAATTTCCCACCTGTTTACTCCTACCACTAAACCCTCCAGAGAACTTACTCTGGAGAATGGCAGTTGATCTGTTTGCACTTGCAACCAAAGTTGCCAATATGTGGCAATCCAGTCCCTGGCAGACCCAAACCAAAGGCCGGAGTTGGTAGGCCAGATCAGCGTTTATCAAATATTGAAATTCTTTTACGAAGTCCAAATTTTGCATAGTAATATCAGTCTGTAGTCTTATAAAATTTATATGTGGCCAATAATCGTATACTATAATAGTATATTATGTGTATTATCAATATTTCGGAATGAGTGGATAGGACTTTTGGCTTAGTAATATTTTAAGTGCCTCCATACCACACAGAAACTATATACTTACAACAATCCAAGCTTTTTCCGGGATTCGAACGCCAGGCGTACGATACACCAGCCAACATCGCTAACTACACTATCGATCATTCATATTCCATGCAATTATTTGCTGAAGAGGAGCCCATAGACATTCTATCGTCTGAATGTCGGTATCATAGCTGGATGAGCGAAATTTGTCTGATGATTTACCGTTGCGAGAGCATATCATTTATTCATGCTTATAACGAAATACAGGGCAGGTTACCTGTTGTGAAAATAGCCATTTGAGAATGTAGGAGTTTTCATTTCAAAACTACATCAACTTTTATTTATTTCTCTACGCTTCCATGCGAATATGATCTCATAGCTCTTTTTTTTTTTAATTGAGAGGGATCACATACGGACCGCCCTGGGAGATAGAAACACTGAATACGCCAATACGTCGGCATAAGGCGCCCTCGGCGGTTGACCTATCTTATCTCCCCTTAAAGTCGCTAGTGCAGAAATTCTTCTTCATTTCTTAGATGGAGGCGAAATGGGAATCTTCTCAGAGTTTACGCGAAAAGAAACAACTCTTCTTTTATGGCCTTTCGTGATAGTTAAGCATCTAGCTCGCTGTTAACCAGCAGAGCCGTTAAGCAAAAATTGTCTACTCAGGCGAGAGCCTCACATTCTTGTCCATCTCGACTGACGTAATCAATGACTCGCATCTTGCAGTTCAAATCAAGGAAATACTGATAGTATCTATCTATCTAGCTTCAATTGACTCTTCTTTTCCTTTTGTTCACAGGTGCGTGGTCGTTCTCTACAATCCTAGGAAAAACAAACAGCGCCACCTAGTGTCCGATGCCAAAAGGAACATCACAACTCTATCCTTCTCCTGGGATGGCAAATACTTGGCAACCGGAGAGGTAAGTAAAGCTATTGTTGCCGCGTTATCGCAGCCATCGGAAGGGCTTTGTTCGAAGGCGTCATCGTGCACCGGTAACGTTGAACAGCAGCGTGATGAGTAATTACGGTACACACTACCATTCATTTTTATTAACGCGGAAGCAGCGCGTGAATGTTCGTCGTGATTCAATTTGCGTAGCCATGACTAGCGGAATATTTTTTTAAGCCTCTCGTCTGTTTCAGTCACGTGTTGTATTTTCCATCATTCATAAAACTTCATTGGAAACAAGAAACTAAAACTCTTTCACTATATATTGAAAGTTGTAAATGTCCAGATATAACGGTACTGTTTTTGTTATCGGGACCGAATTCAGAAATGTATGCGAGTGTGTATGTATGTGCATATATGTAAGTGTACACACATACATTTGTGTTTACATTATGTACATGCATGCATCCATCTATCCATACATTTCTGGATCCGGTCCTGATAACAAACAGTATAACCAGTATTCTTGAAGGTTCATAATACTAGATAGCGAGGCGCATTTTCAATTGTGTACCTATTTGTTATAAATACGGTATTTCAGAGATTTCAAGATCTTAGATATTTCAAGACCGAGTTTATATAATTTTCATTTCCATTGAAAACGAACATAAATAATGCACCAGAAAATCTATAAATAGAGTTATTCAATATACAATGTGATATAGACTGTATTCAGTTTGTCAAAAGATAAATAAGCTCAGTTAATTTTTTCACTAAGAATGATCGTTTTGCTTGGGAATGCATTTATACGTGAATGGCTTTTTTTCAAATTGGAATTGAAAATTAGTATTAAAAAAAAAAAAAAAAAAGATTGACCAATGAGCATGTACAACTAATATTGAAACTAAATTCTAGTAATTTCTTTGAAAGGCTGAAAACTTTGTCAGAATCGAAACGCCATCCGTTGTCAAGTTATATAGTATGAAATACGGAAGTTTATAATTATTTACATAAAAAAAAAAAAAAAAAAAAAAGAACCCTCATCTGTCTCAGCTAGCATTTATTTCAACAGGCATGTTACTGACAAAACTTCCCAACCTGGATCTGAAACATCTCATATGATGAAAGTTCGAAAAATTTATTTAAACTACTTTAAATTAAAATTTTAATCTTACCTCTCCGATTTTACTAACGGCAAATTAGACAGATTTAGAAATAATGTGGCCACTGATAATGTGGCCTCCCTGTTGATTGTTCTTTCAAACATTAACCACTTTTTTTCCTTTCTTTTTCTTTTCTTTTTTTTCTTTTTTGAATATTTCCTTAAAGAATTAAAGTAGTTTTATGCACTATAATCGAATGTAAGATTTTTTGATGAATACCTTATTGACACATGCTATTTTTCTTTTTTGTTTAGTCTTGATAGCCCTGTCAAGTTAATAACTTCAAAGCTATTTGACGTCAAATAGAGTGTAATCTGAAACACGTGCAACATAATTCAGGTAATGTTTGCGAGCTAATTTATGATATGCCATTTCGTGCTTTCCCAGTTCAGGTTTTTGGAGGTGGCAACAAAAATCGTGCCATTTCAGACTCTCTTTTCCCCCCTTCTTCAGGTGTTCTAGATGAAAACATGAAAAACTGTACCTTTTTCGCCTTTCTATTTTTCACCTTTCATTTAAGATGATGAGAAGACACTGAAGGAGTAAAAATTGTAAGATAAAATTAATTTAAACTACTCCAGAGTAAACTGTGAGCGAAACAAGGAAAAATAAAGAAAGGAGGATTCTTAATATGCATAAAGAGGAATTATTGCAGCCCATAAGACTATTTTGTTTTCGGCACCAGATATTGGGTTGGGAAGGAAGTTATTTCTGTCTGGAGAAACTGATAGCGTTATGTCCAGCTGACACTTAGGTCGCTATAGAAACAAATGCCTTGTATTTTTATTTACAGCTGGTAGTTTACGGTCAGTATTAACATGGAGTGCTAAAATAAACATTTCAGATATATTTTACTTTTTAAATTTCATAAAGGGAAGAAAGCGGATGTGGCTACCTGAGGCTCACTAAGAAGTATGTGGAGATTATAGTGTCAGAATGTGTCAGAATGGGTTTAAAAAATTTCATTCTGAAGATTTTTCACTTGGCCAACGTTCTGGTCGACCTTCTGAAGATGATGATGACAAAATTAAGGCCATAATTGAAGCGAATCATCATATCACTGAGCGAGAGATTGTAAAAAGTTTAAATGTATCACGTGCAACAACAAAGAACCACATAAGGTGTTTGGACTCGTAGAGAAGCTCAGTATTTGGGTTCCTCGTGAATTGAAATAAATTCACCTAACAGAATGAATCATCAATATTTGCGATACGCATTCCAAACGTAATGCAATCCACCCTTTTCGAAATGAATTATCACCGGTGAGAAAAAGTAGATCGTCTACATTAACATTAATCGAAAAAAATCATGGTCCAAGCATGAGGAATCAGCACAAATCATATCGAAAACTAAACTGGACCAGAAAAGATTTTGCTGTTAGGTGGGTCAGATTACAAAAGTCTTGTGGATTTTTAGCTGTTATCAAGCGACCAGACAGTCACTTTAGATGTTTACTGCCAACAACTTATGGAACTGGAGAAAACAATCAAAAATAAAGGGCCAGAACTGGGAAATCGCAAAGGAATAATGTTCCATTACGACAATGCAAGAACTCGCACATCTTTTAACAACATGTACAAAATTATTGGAGCTTGGTTGGGAAGTGATGTCGCATCCCTTCATATAGCTCCGATCCTGCCTCATCGGGTTACCATTTATTTCGAAGTTTTCAAAACTTCTTAAATGGCAAAATTTTCAGCAACAAGGATGACCTCAAATCGCACTTGGTTGGTTTTTTTTACTCAAATCGCACTTCGTCTTGGTTACTATCGGGTTAACACTTGTCTCTTTTGTAATAAGGATGGCCTCAAATCGAACTTGATTGAGTTCTTTGAGCGTGGAATCAAGAAGTTATCAGAAAGGTCGGAAAAGGTTGTTGACTAGAATGAAAGATATTTGACTGATTGAAGTGCATTTTTTGTATAGAAAAATTGAGTTTTATTTCACACTAAAATGTCGAAATTACTTTCTTGCCAACCCGATGGTAACTCGGCAGATGGTCGTAAAAAAATATTGTTGTGTGCGTGCGGGTTCGTAATAGATTGAATGCACAAGTCCAATAATAGGTTAATAAAAAATATTGTTATCAAAAGAAATATATTTAATATATTCTGGAATTTTCTACAGAAATATACCTACAAGTATTTACAGTATCACACAGTATAATCAGTAGTTATACTTCAAGCTACTCAGAACGTTAAACACAACGCAATGCAAAGAGCATCTAAAGAGAAAGCTAACTTGGATATGTCAGTTCACGCGGAACTAAGCAACTTGCAACAACAATAACTAAGCAACTAACTAAACAACTGAAAACTGATGCTCTCTCTTCGGCCTTAAATAGTTTTCAACCGGCCACGGGATATTTCTTGTTATTTCTGCTTCTCGAAATTAATGAAAGCAATACGAGGGTGGAATAACGGTTACAGCTAACACAGAGCTCAACTTACATTTATTCAATTTCAATACATATTACGGTGATACAGGGACCGGACCAAGGCGAAGTTTGGCGATTCCCCACCAAATTACCGAGATACCCATTTAAATGCATTCAATGTTAAATGCACTTGTTAAATTGTCCCTGTGTTCTTACTTTTCCGGCATAGCTATCTCTTAAAATTTGTCTCGCGCTATACTGCGCAGAAAAATACAACAATTTTACTTATAATTCTACTATAATTACCTATCTAAGTACAAAATTCGTAACAATATTTATAGCTGAGTATTCTCCTCTTCAGTCTCACAAATTCGGGAAAGAATTAATCTATATTATTAAAAACTATGATAACATTATTACTAACGATTTCACGATTCTTTGGGAGCACTGTATTTTTAACATAGATTTAATGCAACTTAGTCTCTATCACATATGATAGTTGGTTATCTACCCTGATTAGTTGATCTCTACCCGGGATGGAGCTGCAGACGAAACATTTTCGGTGAAGTTTCAAAATATATCGCGTAGCTGGGGCATCGTTTCCATAGCTGGATTGGACTTCGCTTCCAGCGGAGCTGTTTTTTCTAGGAATGCTCCCGTTTAAACCAGTGCTACCAGAATATCTTTTCTCAAAAAAGTTCCGTCTATTGGGGACCGTCGCTAGATATGATAACCCCTTTACAGGTGACAGTACGATATAGTCCAGTTCCGCCCCCAATTTCGATGGAGAGCATCCCGGGGAGAGACAGGTCGGAGGGTCTCCCACCCCCTCTTCGCCTACTCCCCATGCCGCGCGGACACTATACGTTTACAAACATCCATGCCGTAAGACCTCATGTCGCACGAACACTATACGTTTAACAAACATCCATGCCGTAAGGCCCCATGCCGCACAGACACTATACGTTTACAAACATCCATGCCTTCTCCGGGATTCGAATCCGGGCCCTTCGGCACAGCAGTCAGCGACGCTAACCACTATACCGGTTGGACAGCTCATTATTTCTTTAAAATAACTTTTTTTTTATTGAAGATGGCCCTCTTTTGAATAAACTTTGACTAATTAATATTTTCATACTTTACCTAAATAGCATTTGTCATTCTATAGAACGTTCCTCTTTGCCTAGGTAAATTATACAATAATTCTCATGTATCGTACTTTGCTAAAAACGACAGGCATTCTATGAAATGCCTAGGTATTCTATAGAATGCCGGCTTTTCATTTTATTGCCTGTAACAGATGTATTGTTTTCTCCTCACTCGGGCTCTCTAAGATCGGGGTTTGGGGGCACTGCCCCGGTAGTAGTTACTGCCATGATCATAAGTTATCTTTCGTTATTTCTTTATGAAGTGTATCGGATGCCGTTTACAGTTATCTGTATAATTACTACGCGAGAGTACAGACTAATGAACAATCAAATGTAGTTTATGATGTAATAAAGTAACAGGTGTAAAAAATGTATAACTTTATCTATATTGAATGAAATTCATCGAATATTTATCATATTTCAGTGTGGAGCCGTTTCGCACGTTCGGATATGGGACGTCCAGAAACTCACACAAATCGCAGACCTATCAGGCCACAAACATGGGATCAATTGTGTGGTGAGTATTTTCATGTCTACCCAACACACTGATTTTATTGTTTCTCTTTAAACTGATATTTCTTGAATGAAAGCAGAAGAAAAACACTCTAAGTGAAACAGAAAATCAGTAACACATCAACTTAAGTTTGGCATAGATTTAAGTCAAGATCTCACTCGATTTCGAAGGCAAATAGGCACAGGTGCCTCTTCATCAGGAACAAAGAAACCTGCAAGACTGATCGCAAATTTCTTTGCTCCTGATGAAGAGGGACCTGTACCTGTTTGTCCTCAAAACCGATTGAGATCTTGAATTAAATCTACGCCAAACTCAAGGTTGCTGTGTTACTAATTTTATGATATTTATTTGCTTATGCGTCAAAATAAACTACCGGTTTGCGGTGGCTGTGCATGGCTGCATGCGTAGCTGTTGAGTGTGTGTTCGTGGCTGCGCATGCACAATCAGTGCTATGTGCGAGAAAGTGTGAAAAATAAACACGCGTAAGTTCGAGCAGGCTCTAAAAAATCGCTGAATTTAGTTTTTAGGTTTAGTTTCAACGATTACCTTTGTTTCGGCCACCAGAGCTCTCTGCCTGTCTGTGAGATATTATTTCGCAATGCGCAGATTGTATGCGTAGCTCGCATTTTGTTCTTGCATTCATAAAACCGCTAATTGTAACTCTGTCGTTTTACTTTGTGCTGTGTTGTGTTCGAAAGTTCAAACTACCGAATAAAGGTTAATTTACGTAGTGATGTATTCTTAGGTTTATTAATTTAAAGTTAAGATACCACTTCGCTACATTATTTGGTCGTCCTACGCCGGAGCTTCGAGAAAAACCCGCGCTTGTGAATAAGAATTCTACGTGTCCGTAATGGAGTTGATAATGCAATTTCGGTTTAGAATTCTCAAGAGTTACGCAATGGATACAGTGTACGAGGTGAGTGAAATAGTTAACGCATTTTAATTGCATTTGACATTTCGTTATTGCTATTATTTTAGTGTTTAAAGTATTAGTAAAATCGTGAATTTAGAATATTTTCAAAATGTCAGATATAGAAAAAAAAAAAAAAAAAAAAAAAAAAACGAAAGAAAATTTTGAAAACGCAGTTAACGAAACTTATCGAGAGAATAGATTATGATAACTTAGATAATGCTGAAGCTGAATTAATCTTAGAAAAATGTAAAATCTTTAAGGAAGATTTTAAATCTCTATTTAGAGAAATTTATACAAATTGTGATGATGATAAAATAGACACTTTCGTTGAGGAAGAACAGTCGATTTTAGAGAAAATTGAGGAGGTTCACTTAAAAATTATTCGTAAGTTAAAGATTTACAAGGTCGTAAATGCAAATGGCGATAAACCTGTCGTACCTGAACCAAAATCTGTAAGTTTAAAGTTACCGAAATTATCTTTACCCACATTTAGCGGAAATTTAACTGAATGGATAACATTTAAAGATTTATTTAACGCTAGTGTTCGCAACAATCCAAATCTTTCTGGAGCTCAAAAATTACAATATTTAAAGAGTTCTTTGAAAAATGATGCTTATCGCATTATTCAGTCAATTCCCATAGCTGATCAAAATTTCAGTATTGCTTGGAATTTACTAGAAGAGAGATTTTCTAATAAGAGAGAACAGATATTTGCTTTTATTAAAAGAATTCTTAACGTTTCACAAATACAAACGGAATCTGCATCCTCGATATTAAATTTAGTAGATAACGTAAACGAAATAACTCGCTCATTGGAAATATTAGATCAAAGGATAGATAATTTTAGTGATACTTTGTTGTTGTATATTATTTTGCAAAAACTTGACGTTTCGACAAAGTTGTGGTGGGAGCGTCAATTAAAAAAAGACGAAATACCAAAGTTGAATGACTTGATAGAATTTTTGAAGAATTACGCTAGAACATTACAGAACAGTAAACCTTTAATTAGTAAAACGCATAAATCAGATAAACCAGTGTATAATAGGGTTACTTCTCTGATTACTAATTCTACCTGCTTATTTTGTAAAGAAGATCATTTTTTTATACAGGTGTTCTAATTTTTTAAATTTACCAGTGCAAAAACGAATAGAGTTTGTTAAGACTAATAAACTTTGTTTTAATTGCTTGTCTAATGTCCATAAAGTTAAAATGTGTAAGAGTGCAAACACCTGCAAGCATTGTTTTAAGCATCATCATAGCATTTTGCATTTAGAAAATAATTTCAAACCAAAAAATGCATCTAGATTCCCTTCACCGGAAGCACAAGTGTTTGTTCCGAAATCGCAAATTAAACCAGAAAACAAGTTGAGTGAGGTTTCTCCAACTGTTTGTAAAAACAACTATGAAAATAAACATTTTGGAGCTCATGCTAATGGTAAACGTAGTCATGTACTTTTGTGTACTGCTTTAATTAAGGTTGAAAACTCAAAAAAATGAATTGATAAATTGTAGATGTTTACTAGATTCAGGTAGTGAAAAATCATTCATTCGTCGGAAAACAGCTATCAATTTAGGATTGAGCATAAAGGATTCGAAGATATTAGTGTCATGCTTAGGTACTTTCAATACAACTACTACTGGAGAAGTTGAGTTGTTGTTTACACCTCATTTTAATACTAATTACAGAATTTCAACGTCCGCTTACATAATAGACAAAATTACAGGAAACATTCCAAGTGTAACATTACCTTTGAATTTATATGAAAGTTTCGAAGATTTAACTTTAGCAGATCCTACATTTCATGAATCGGGAGAAATTGATATTTTACTTGGAGTTAATGTATTCCTTACTTTAATAAATGGCGAGGTAATTAAAAGGGGCAAAAATCTTCCATTTGCATGTTGTTCTAAGTTAGGATGGTAATTGCTGGAACTACACATTTTTTGAATTCCCAAACCGTCCCAATCGTAACAGTGTTTCAGTCAATACGCTAAAACGTCCAACACGGAGAAGAATTAGTTAAATCATTTGGAAGAATTATGGAACAAATTCCCACAATCGAAACCGCTTTAACTAAAGAGGAAAGATTGTGTGAAAATCATTTAGTGGAAAATCACGTCCGTAGTGAAAATGGTCGTTACTCAGTAAAATTGCCATTCAAGCCTAAAAGAAATTAGTTGAAGAATTAGGCAATTGAATCAATAAAATTATTGGGTTTGGAGTGGTATCCAACGCAAGACGAGTTTACTTGTCACTTTGGAAATCTCGAAAACAGAGAGTGTTCTACTAAAAGAATAATTTTATCTTCTATTTCGAAAATCTTTGATCCACTTGGTTGGTTAGCACCTTTTATAGTTGCAGCAAAAATCTTGCTTCAAGATATATGGAAATTACAAATCTCGTGGGATGATCCCTTGCCAGATGAAATCAATCAAAGATGGAAAATCTATTGTGAAGATATCGCAAATCTTGAATGCATTCATATTCCTAGGAGAGTATTATTGCCCAAATCTACAAATGTAGAACTTCATTGTTGCTTTGACGCATCAGAGAAAGCTTACGCCGCAGTGATTTATTTAAAGTCTTCAAACAATTCTTCAGTTTCGGTGCAGCTACTAACATCAAAAACTCGCGTAGCTCCCCTGAAAGTAATCTCTATTCCTCGTTTAGAACTCTGCTCTGCAGTTCTATTAGTGCATTTGGTTCAAGCTGTGCAGAATTCATTGCAAATTCATGTTGACGATATTTACGCATGGAGTGATTCAATGATAGTTTTGTCCTGGATACAATCAGAACCAACACGCTGGCAAACCTTCGTAGCCAACCGCGTTTCAGAAATTCAATCAGTCTTACCTTCATCGCATTGGAATCATATAAAAGGAAAGGAGAATCCAGCTGATTGCGCATCAAGAGGTCTTTTGCCTTCAGAGCTTTCTACTCATGACTTGTGGTGGACAGGTCCTCAGTGGCTTAATTCAAATAATATTCCATTCTCTATCAACTTACCATTTTCAGAAGAGTCTTTAAGGGAACAACGGAAAAATATTTCTTGTTCAATTGGAACAGTCGCTTCGCAAATTCCAGTCCTTAATGAAGTTTCATCATTTTGAAACTTAAAAGAATCATCGCATGGTGTTTTTCGGTTTGCGAATAATTCAGCTAAATCTACCGCAACAAGGATTAAGGGTTACCTTAAAACCGAAGAATTGCAATACGCTAGAAATGCAATTGTTAGAGTAGTTCAAATGGATGAGTTTTTTAATGAATATAATCTTCTGAAAAAGAATCAACCGTTAAACTCAAATAGTAAGATCCTTTCTTTGAAACCCGTTTATCGATAAGAATGGACTTATACGCGTTGGAGGAAGATTAAGACAATCCAACATCGCGCAGGACAGAAAATATCCTATTTTGTTGCCCAAGAAACATCACATAACACAGATTATAGTGAATCATTTTCATATATCCCATCTTCATGCTGGCCCCCTGCTATTGCTATCAGTAATTAGAAGAGAATATTGGATAATCCACGCTAGGTCAGTTGTAAGACAACAGATTTGGAAATGTGTGAAATGTCATCGTGTACGAGCTAAAACATCTACCCAGATAATGTCTGATTTACCATCGTCTAGAGTCGTTCCGTCAAAGGTTTTCTCCAAAGTTGGAATTGACTACGCCGGGCCATTTCAAGTGAAGCCCAGGCAAGGTCGAGGAGTAAAACCAATGAAATGCTACATTTGTGTATTCGTGTGTTTTACTACAAGAGCTATACATATTGAATTAGTAGGTAATCTTACATCAGAATCATTTATTGCCGCTTTGAAGCGCTTTGTATCTCGAAGAGGAAAACCAATAGAAGTGCATAGCGATTGTGGCACAAATTTTATTGCTGCAGATAAGGAATTGAAAAGAGTAATAAACTCCTTGAATGAAAATGAATTGGTTAATAAATATTGCTCTACTGAAGGTATTAAGTGGATATTTAATCCTCCCGCAGCGCCACATTTTGGAGGATTATGGGAAGCTGCAGTCAAATCTACAAAGTTACATCTCAAGCGAACCATAGGTGAACAACTTCTAACGCAAGAAGAATTTACGACATTGCTAGCTCAAATTGAAGCTTGTTGAAATTCGCGACCTTTGTGTCCACTGTCTGAAGATCCATCAGAATTTTACTTACGCCAGGCCATTTTTTAATTGGTACCCCGCTAACTGCCTTACCAGAATAAAGTTTACACGATCAAAAAATTCCTATATTGCAACGTTGGAAGCTTGTTGAGAAAATGTTTCAAAGTTTTTGGAAAAGATGGTCAAATGAATACATTTCTAATTTGCAACGACGTTCAAAATGGTTGAAAGTGCAACGTAATTTAAAGGTTAATGATTTAGTTATCATAAAGGAAGACAATTTACCCCCGCTACGATGGAAATTAGGAAGAGTGCTGGAAGTTTTTCCTAGCTCAGATAATATTGTGCGTATCGTGAAGATCAAAACTGCTAACGGAGTTTTCAATAGGCCAATTCACAAACTTAGTGTTTTGCCTATCAATGGTTAAGTGTTTTTCCCTAAAGCATTATAACATTGTACTTTACTTTAATTAAGTTCCTGAATTGTATCAAGGCTTCTGTGCATCTGTTTTGAGAACAATTTAGTTTCATTGCATAATTTCATAGTATGTTTTCTTGTGAATATTTTAATGATACATTTTGCATAATTTAATATTGTTATGATAATTTCATTTTATAAAAGCTATCTATTTTGAAACGATGTTTCAACGCCTGGCGGAATGTTTCGGCCACCAGAGCTCTCTGCCTGTCTGTGAGATATTATTTCGCAATGCGCAGATTGTATGCGTAGCTCGCGTTTTGTTCTTGCATTCTTAAAACCGCTAATTGTAACTCTGTCGTTTTACTTTGTGCTGTGTTGTGTTCGAAAGTTCAAACTACCGAATAAAGGTTAATTTACAGTCCTCTCGTAGTGATGTATTCTTAGGTTTATTAATTTAAAGTTAAGATACCGCTTCGCTACAACCTTGTACAATTCTTTCTGCATAGTAGAAGGCTTCGTTTCGGTTGATCACTGGGATTGTTTTGTTTCGAACATATTTTGATGCATATTTTACGTCCTGTTACGTACGTTATACGTCCTGTCTAAGTTTTGCATCTTAAAAGGACGTATAACAAGTTGGAAGTTTTTTAAGGCAGAGCCATACCGAGGTACCACTGTATTTTGTAAATATTTTGTGGCGTCAAATTAGGTTGTATCGATGCAGGAACGTGCAAAATGTGCAGTGCACTCGTCGGCATTAGAACTACGGACCTCCCGAATATGCGTCGATCGTGCTTCCAGTTATACCAGGAAGGCATGTGGAAAGGAGAGAGAAAATACCTTATAATTTTTATAATTTATTAAGAAGTAAATACTTGCAATAACAACGCAAATGTTTCTAGAACTTATCATTTGGATGCACCATGAATTAGGCACATTTCAAATTAATATCAATTACACGTATTATTGAACTAATAGACTCTGAAAACTGTGATGTAAGTTCATTAATTTATTTTTACTTTCCTAGGCATTTTCCCCTAACCTGAAATACGTCGTGTCCGTGGGCTCTCAACACGATATGGTAGTCAACGTATGGGATTGGAGAAACAAGCAGAAAGTTGCTTCCAATAAAGTCTCTTGCAAGGTGAGTGACAATGTTTATTTGAACCCCATTGGAAATATGTAGATGTAGCATAGGAAATTTAAATTACAGTCCCGTAAAGGAAATTTAAATTACAGTACAAAAGTGGGTATGCAGTAGAAAACACAAATTGTAATATACCATAGTTTTATTCTTATGAATTCTCTTAAATATTTTTCGCCCACCAGCGGCCGAGCGGTAAAGACGCTGAACACTGGTAGTTCGGTCTGAGGTTCGAATCCCGCGAACGGGCTGGCTGCATGGGCGTTTTCGTGGTTTTCCCCATGTGTAACGTGTATACGAGCCAGTTTCCCTTAGAAAGTCCTCCACGAAAGGCACCCCTCCCTTTAGGCAGATAGCCCTCGTGTGCTTTGCCATAATTAAATACACCAACACCAACTTAAATATTTTTCTCTACTACCGTATTTCCTCGCGTATTCTTCACCCCCCTTTTTAACTAATTTTATCGCCTGAAATTGAAAGGGAAAACTTAGGCGAGTCATTTAATTTCTGTAAAACGCGGTCACAGTTATAATGTAACAAATGAAAAGTAGTCAAGGATAAACTACTGGTAGCTATCACAGTAATATTTCTTTAAAAGAAGCCTACATTCCAATAAGAGTACAGCCAAGTAGCATTACAATATCTGACAGCTATTGAGCCTGTATATGGCGGATATCTGATTGGCTCGATTATCTTGTAAATCCCCAGGGGCACCTCACATGAATGAGTCTTGACCGCAATTCCCAAGAGGGACATCTGAGGAAGGAAGTTGAAGGGGACGAACAAAAGACCCGGATTTTGAAAGCTCAAGCACATCAGCATTAGATAAAGCTACAATGAGCTGGAACGTAAATAGTAGAAGTAAGTTAAAATTACACTTTTGGAAAGTTTCTTAAGTATGAAAACAGCTGCCACGTTCTGATGGCTCAAAGAAAAATCTGCACAAAATACGTTTCAAATAATGAAGGCGAGGGAAAGTAATTTGGATAAAATGTTAAAACAAAAACGCCAATACAAATTTGAATACATAGAATAAAATTAAAATACTGAGAGGAATACAGTTTGTTAACAAACTAGCTCTCACGGGGAAAAACTCCGTACAGTAAATTAAAAATATTTTTGAAATTTTCAGAACATAGCGCTAAAGGACTAGAGGGAAAATTACGAGAGAAAATACAGTATTATGAGTAACATACACCTATAAACTTACATTACAATTCATGGGTCATCAACCCGCAAATCCGTTTTGTGAATATAAACGTTACTGCCCGCGTGTTTTACATTTTTCCATTTCAAGTTGGTGTCGTCTCAGCAAAAGAGTGGGCTGCGAACAAAACTGAGGACGATACACGAACCCACGATTCACTATCCCGCCTTCTGGTTCTGAGAAACCTAAGAAAACCTCTCCCAGATTTTGCTGGGTTGTAAATTTGAGAATAGAAGAACGAATTCTAACTTTTAATGATGCTAACGAGCATGATACAAAGACTTTCATTTTGTAGTGCAGTTTTCAAACTTGTTGTTGTTACTTTTATCCAATTTCGCTCGGAAGTTATTGATAGCAGCTTCTCCCTGAGTTTGCCGCTTCGAGAGGTTCCCGAATTTTTCTCATCTCTTGATACACAGTAGCCGCCACTTAATAGGAATATAACTAACAATTTAGGAATATAACCTTAAGCTACTAACAATTGATTGTCTGGAAATTTTACGCAGAATTTCATTTTCTTAAACTGTTCATAACATTTCTGAAAGTTATTTGACCGATGCTATATCGCTGATCTTAATCCTCGAAATGTATCTCTTGTTCACTGAAAGAGAGCATGCAAATGTAAAATTTAAAATTAGGCAAAAAAAGCAATTTTGTTTTAGTGTAGATGTTTCCAGAATATTCTTTTTTCCTCAGCAAGGAAACTTTTCTGCAGAATTTTTGCTACTGAAGAAGAGGAACTTGTGTTTCATCACCTTCAAAATCAATAGAGTTTCTTAAAACTCTAAAATGCTGTTATTTTTAGCTAGTTTTAAATCAGTCATTAAAACCGAGATCAAGCTTTTTTGCCACCAACATTCAGCTAGGTACAGTGGGACACCAAAATGAGGTGAGCGGGTCGCCAAAATTTGACCATTGGTCGTACATGCGTAGTCCGGATGGCTAACTTTTTAGTTCCGTCTTAATTTTGAGGATGCATACCCCCGAGAGCGGTATGAGGATCTCCCATCCCTCTTTCCCTGCCACCTAGGCTGGATTAAGAGCTTTAGAAGTCCTAAGCGCTTAAAAGATTTTGGTGCTCTTTCATGCTAAAAATGGCAATGGTAAATTTTTTGGCGTTCCCTTTCCCGAATATTCAAGGACTTTTTCTCAGTGCCCTCTTTCCTTGTTCCATGTAAGTACGTATTTATATTGCTGAATGGTTACTCCGGGCCTGATTACCATTAACTTCTCGAGTGGATATCGGATCGATGCGTATTTGAGTGCATCGCATCAACTACGCACCGATCAAGCCTATAGTGTCTGTGCCTCCGTAGTACACAGGCACTATAGACTTGCAAACATCCATGCCTTCTGTGGGATTCGGACCTGGGACCGTATGTACGGTAATCAGCGTCCCTAACCACTATACCATCTGGATGGCTAGGTGATGGGATAATATCGTGGGTGTTATTTCTGTAAAATTCGATGCAATTATTTATTTTTTTTCGAGTTCCTTCCCTCCCTCAGACATTCTATCGTCTGAGTGCTGGCACGACAGCAGGATAAAAACATTCGTCTGATGATTAACTGTTAGGTGGCGTATCATATGATTCTTACTCATAACAAAGGAAAATGCATGGTGTTGTAATAACACCCAGTTTTCTGTAACCGTATAAAGCAGGGGAAAAATATTATCAGAAGTTGTTATGTTCAGAAATGGATACGTAAATGAAGCGTGGTGGCGTCTTTTTCCGAGAAATGTTTTAAATGGATATTTCTTATACAAAATGTAACTTATAAATTTAAAGTAAATAGTTATCTTACTCGAATCGTTGAATCTGTTCGAAAATTCTTAGCAAAATTTTCCATCGTTACCTCCTTTAATTTTCCCAAATTCCCAAACTTGATACTTAATCCGTAATGGGTATTCTGGTGCTGCCATCTGTATTCGATTAATGAAACTATTTACCTAAGATTGCGGAATAAATTAATATAAAATCCATTGCAACAAATTTTATTCTTTCAAAAAAGAAATAGCGTGTTTATAGCTTATGGAAGGTTTTTGATACTAAGCTCGAACAATTATTTTAGAAGAATTTCAATAAGTTAATTTTGAAAAATATTTATCCATTAAACTTACAATATGCATTTAGCGCATTTTACGTTTTCTGATGCTTCCAGAAATGTAGTTGGAATGTATGAAGAATTTAGTTGAAAATACGTGCTGCAGTTTTAGTATATTTTATTGAATTCGAATTGGAATTAAATTCCTTGAAATATCCGTTCATGTGAACAGTTCAATCGGCGGGGCCCTTCGTCCAGAGGTTAAGTGGATGAAATTCAGAATACTAGTAATTACAGGGAAGTAGAAATGAAAATATCTTATTAGAAGAAGTTTCGTGAAGACAGTCAGGGCGTGCAGAAGAAAGTGCCTAAATTTTACTTTATAAATTAATGCAAAGGTAAACTTTGCACAAGTTTTTAACCAAAAATGATAACCAAGCATAAATGGACATAACCAAAAATGGAAATCATTAAATATAAAACAATAAACACAATGTCTAACAGATTAAACAGATGAGAACATAATTTAATTTTACTATACCTCTAGAAAGGAGTGCGGACGGCACAAGCGGGAAATGATAAAAAATTTTACTCTTTGGAAGCGAAATTCCCTTCCGTAAAAACATCAGGTAAATATCTTTAGGAGGCCTATCATTTTCATTTTCTTTGTCTCTAAGCCTCAATGGACCCTTCTTGGGACTCACTGAACTTTCTGTTTCACTCAAAATTTGGCCTACGAGATTTGTTGTTGCGTCACTTAAATCTTCCTAGGTTTTAAAATGTTTCAAAACTGAGATATCGTTGTTGTTGCGACTAATCTCGCTTGTCTGAAATCAAAGCAATTCGAAATTCTTGGTAGCTAGGAGTCAAGATTGCTTTTCTTCAAGGTTGCTTTTTTCGTTGGCAAGAGCCTTGGGCACTATGCAGGCTACAGTACGAGTTTGCTAAGTTCCACCCCCACCCTCACCCGCAATTTTGACGGAGAGTACCCCAGGGAGGATGAGTCCAAGGGTCTCCCACCCCTCGTTCCCAACTGCAAACCTCTCGAGAGGATTTTCGGCTCGATGCATATTTAAAGTGCCCCCATGCCGCACAGACACTATACATTTACGAACATCCATGCTTTCTCCAGGATTCGAAATCAGCCCCTTTGATACGGTAGTCAAAGTCACCAACATTAGAAGTGAGCAACAGTATTGAAAAGTGAGCTATAGCATTACTACTAAAAATGTTTATGCTGCAGCTTGCAATTGCTTTATCAGGGTAAAATCTTTAGATGAAAATTCTGAATCTTGCCCAGTTTCGCGGATAGGGTCATTTTTCTTTCTTCTTCGTCTTTTAAAATCGCCTTTTGTTGCTACTTCTGAACTTGTTATTCTTTCACATTGAATTCATTTTTATGATCCTCTAGTTACTTGTTCACATCTTCATTGATAACCTAGCCCATGGTTTTGCCAAGAAATATAATATCACAAATAACAAACAAAGAAAAAATATCGTAAATGATCAAAGTCTGTGCTAAGCAATTACTGCTAATAAGGTTAAAGCCAATACAAGTCATTCAGCCGCCCGACCGGTACAGTGTTTAGCGTCGCTGACTGCCATACTGAAAGGCCTGGCTTCGAATCCTGGAGAAGGCATGGATGTTTGTATCGTGTCTATGCGGCATGGGGGCCCTATAAGTATGAGGCGAACCGAAAGTTCTCTCGAAAGGTTGGTGGTAGGGGAAGAACGGTGGGAGACTCTCGGATCCATTTCCCCTTCCCAGGGTGCTCTCTATCAAGATTGGGGGCGGAGCTGAGCTAAATCGACGACAGGCGTAAGCTTGCGCTCCTTGCCACGAGGAATTTCGTGGGCTTGGGCTGACTATAGGTCAGACAAGTGAGCACTAGCAACACGAACAATAAATCATTCAGTCAGTGAAGGAAATTGTAGCGAAAGGGTCAGGAAATGTAACCAAAAGCTATATCTTAAAACCAAGAGCTCTGCATGTAATGTGCATACATTACTTTGCATCCTCATGGAAGCTGACGAAAGCAGAAGTAAGAGCTGACCACCCCAATAGATGGTAACGGGTCACCTTCTAAGTCACTTGAAATTCTCAAGAAGCTATCCTCGGCCCTGTCAGCATTATACCTGTAAACAGGTAGAGTGCACTCGCCAATCGAGAGACGCTCTGAAAATTTCGGGCAAATGAGAATACACGAATCCTTTCCGCGTTAATCTTTCCTGCGACTAGAAGGAGTTTAAAGACTGTGCGCGACTTATTCTCCCTTCTTTCGGGGGAAAGGAAACCTGTTTATGAACTTTCTGCTGTCATTAATAAACTTCGAATGTATTAGACATTCTTTCTTTGCAATTTTTTGTTCATACTCAGTGTAAAATTTTAAATAATGTCGAAACGCTACCCCTGACTGTTTATGCATCGCTACAATACTAACGAAATTCAAGCTCCACACTGCGTTTAATGGTTTGTTTACTTTGCTATGTGCCCGCCCGCTAACGACAGGAGATCTCCAATCAAGGTTCCTAAACAGGAAGTGGTGGAAATAGATTTGCATATCTTAGGCCCTGTCGCAGTTCTGACTCCAACTCGAGCGATGATGACATCGCCAGTATATGTGCCAGAGACTTATCCTACCGATGTCGTCATCATTGAAATATTTTCTTTTGTTAATATTTTCACGAAGCGCAGACCACGTCTTCTGCTTTGAATGAAGAACATTTTCTTTGTTAATTTCTAATGTGCCAAATTTGAATGTATTTTTCAAGCCCTCTATAACGAGCTGCAAGCTGGATTGTGGATTGTGGATTGTCGATCCGCTAAGAAAAATGGATTATCTTACAAAAACGCCTAAAGACATTTTTAACATTGCTACATCTGCCAAAAGAAGTGAATATTAAAACTAATTAAAAAACGCACTAAGGCTTAATTACGGTTAATATCACGCGCAGTTACTAAATTTGTTGTTGTTTCTTTCCTGTTTCACTATACTTCAATAATTCCCCAGGTTAAATAATTTAGCATAGTTATCATTGCCGTTCGTCAAGTCGGGAGATTTCTGTACACTAAAGGCTGAACTAATCTTTAACATAATAAAGGAGAGGCAATTAATTTATTAAACATCTACAGTGATACGTAAGCGCAACCAAAGAATTTCGCTATATATAAAATCTTTTCTTTGTACTTCTAGAGCTATGATCTTAATTTCGGCGCAGGAAATATAAAAGACATCCCGACTGATATCCAGATGTGCTTCTGTCAAACCACGAAGGCATGTGCTAAGGTGGGAGAAAGGTCCTTACATTCTCCCCCATTTAAAGAGCAACTGGGGAAGAGACGGGGCCCATCTTTTATATGATGGATATTTTTTACGTAAGGTCCATTTTGTAATAAAAAAAATATTTACTGAAGTTACATATAAATCTTCATTCGTAAAAAAAAAAAAAAAAAAAAGAGAGAGAAAGACTTTTCTATGTAATTTCTTTGCCAGTTGAACATCTATCATAATCAAGAACAAGTTTTTGAATACTTCCTTATCTAACCTGTAATGAAATATGCATACGCTGCCTGTGATGATTGCACGTGTAAACCACTTAACAACAATTTATTTTAGGCATACTAGGCGACGTGTAATATGATCGCGGTCAGTGTTATCTTTCGGATATTGTAATCGAATGACCTCGCCTATTTGGCCTCGCCTATTTGTGTACGAAAACATGAAAAATAGATCCTTTATTGGGATCAATAATTCAGTTATTAAGATTTAAGTATTGCAGAATAAATTTTTTAAACTGAAATAAAGTCGCCAAATAAAACTAAAATGGAATATGAAGTTATCAGGTGGCAGAGAAAGGTCGCCAAGTAAAAGCCATAAGTCGCTAAATAGCTAGACTTTAATAAATTAATAAGCCTTCCGAATTTCATAAATGATGTAAAAGTAAGCCAAAAAAGCAACGTCATTTTAGCATAGATTTTGAAAAACTCCTTTGATTTTGCGGTCGATCAGACACAGGTCGCTATTCTTCAGAAAGGGAGAAATCCTGCAGAATTTTTGCCTCCTTTTCCTTGCTCCTGCAGAAGGGGGGAGAGGAAAAATATCCATGAAAGCATCTACTATTTCTTTTTTACCTAATTTTTTGTTTTCATTGGCATATTCTCTTTCAACGAGGGATGTCGTCCTGGTAATAAGATATCAGATACAGCACTGGTCAAATAATTTCCAGGAACATTATTAACAGTTCATATCTGAGCTTTGCATTAAAAATATTGGGAACAGTTTATAAACAACCTTTTCCTAATTAAAATGATCTCAAAGTACCTATTTATATGTTCCTGGTAATATCCATAATAAATCAGTTAAATTCCGCAGCTATTTTGAAGGGCATTGTTTTTCCTCATCGATTAATGTTATCATTCGGTTACTGCTATCAATATAATAGTATAATAAAATAATCGTAGGCAAAAGTGATCGTATTACCATGATTCACGTTAAATGTGATTGCAGTATATCTCTTTTTCTTTGAGGCAGTAAAAACCATCATAAGAACGACCAGTAACTACTCTGGTAATGCATTTTGCGGAAGCTAAATGAATATTACCATTAATGTCTATTTAACAATAAATTGTAAGTTTTTACTACTTTTTTTTCACAGAAAAATTAATTAATATTTCATGTATTTCAGGTAAAAGCCCTGTCATTTGCCGCAGGCGGCAATTATTTCGTGACCGTTGGCAACAACCATGTGAAGTTCTGGTACTTGGAATATTCACGATCGACTAAGGTATGGTAATGACTAATTATTTTATTACATTAAAACTCTTTCTTTACTGTTATGGCTATCCAAAGGCTCAGACTATCTCGGTTTTTAAATTATGGTAATTTTTTTAATAATATCGTAGGAATGTAAATATTCTTTCCGTTTTAAATGTATATATATGTATAATTATGTACGCATTGCATGCGGTTAAATTGAGTTACGGCGACGTTGTTGTTGGGCCGCCTTCAGTTCAGCCACTTCATCAGATTTCCTGAGATAGACTAGCCGTTTTGAAAAGTGTTGTCAGGTATCAGAAACGAGACACACTCGTTGAGGCTAAGTGTGGCCTGGATCGTTACCTCCGAGATAGAATCGTGGCTTCTTGTTTTCCAGAATGCGGCGAAAATAATAATAATAATAATAAAAAAAGATGTTTATTGCCTAATGGGTCACGCTTTTGGGGTTGTACCAGAATCATAGAAAGTAAAATTCACTTAAAAAGGGGAGAAATAGGATTGTATTTCCATCACCATTTCAGCTGTCATTGCAATGGCAACTACTAATCGTCTGAAAGTGTGCGGGATCGACCGTGTTAATTTTCAGATTAGGATCTGGGGAACATAAAAAAATTTTTTTTTCTGGGTTGGATGGCGCTATATAACATACCTGAGTGTGACAAGGCAGCACATATTTGAGTTTTGTAGAACGTGAAGTGATTAAGGGATCTTATCCGTTTCGTAGCGCCGTCTGTAATTTGCAATAAGAGCCACTTGCTCCTGGTTTATGTAGTGAGGAACTGTTAATGCCATGCTCGCTCACAGATGGCACCTGTCAGGATCACTGAAAGACACCATGCAGGCTCTTGTCCTAAAGGGGGTATCACATCTAACGACAGTCCCTGCTAGACGAGACTTTTCTGAGAAACGGAATTCCCGTAGCACTGGTTTAAACGGCAGGATTTCTTGAAAAGACAGCTCCGCTGGAAGCGAAGTCCCACCTAGCTACAGAAACAATGTACCGGCTATGCGGGATTTTTTGAAACCTCGACGAAAATGGTTCGGCTGCAGTTCTGTCCCGGGTAGAGATCAACCAATCAGACGAAAGTTCTGCTTCTGAAGGATCACGAGATCCCAGTTTGAACGATAAGCGATTACTTTTGGCGTTCAAGTCTTTGGGGGCGATCCCCTTCTGGTGACCAAAAACATAGGGTAATTTATCATTAATTCAATGGGTTTTGACACGATCGGATGTAAATATTTTGTAATTACGTCGTAAATATACATATAAATGTATCTATTTTCTTTTTCTACAATACTTCAGAGTCCTAAGTATATGAAAAGAATACATTTTTAAACAACATTTCATTCTGAACGGAATTAAATGCTATACTTTTCACAGAAAAGTTTGCTCAGAATGGTTTAATTTGAAAAAATTTAAAGTAATTCGATTTTATTCGATTAAGGATTACAAAAATGAAGATAAAAGTTTATTATATTATTAATATTAAAATTATATTTTATTTCCTTCCAATTTATAGAGCTTTTTCCTAAAATACTTTCTTAAATATGGCATGATTTTTTTAGCTTCTGAGGTATCTTTAAAATCGAAAAATATAAGTCAATTTATAATTAATGCTCTATTCGATCCATTTCAAATTAGAGCACCCTTTTATTTTAATAGCGAAATACTTTAAATAGTACTTAACTTTCTCTGAATATTTCTGAAAGAGAATAAAATAAGAATTTTTTTCTAATATTATTTAAAACTTGTAACTAAAGTTATTTTAAAATGTAAGGGGAATAATTCTTTTAATTATACTTATCAGATCTTTTTACCCTTAATTTCAACAATACATATTCCAAAACTCTTCTTTATTACTTTCTTAAGTACGCATCTCATAGAAATTTTTTTTACAATACATGTTAACAGATTGCTTTCCAGTACGAACAATTCTTGCTTAAATAGTTTTATAACGTATTTGTCAAGAAGATTTCAATTTATGTTTACAATTCAATGTTAAGGTTATTATATATTTAGATAATATTTATAATAATTATATTTTCCAATCGGTCGGACCAAATTTATCCTCGCAAGTTACAGAACAGGCTAGCTCGATAGCTTTCTCTTTTCGCCATACTGGTGACGCTCTTGTGTGGTTGTCTTATTATTGACAACGCCGGAGGGTATCATTACCAAAAACGTGGGTTAACACTAGCTTAGTAAAGCACAATGCATCATGCAATCAGTGATCAATGATGTCGTGCCAAAACAGCTGTCTAGGCTCGAGTGATTCAGAACGCTGCTCGGAGAGCAATGCGCTACAAAGTGTAAACAGGCTTTCAACCTTACAACTTGACACATAATACTTAGTATAAATCAGCTGGGCTGTGATACTTCGAAATTATAGGTCTACGAAGTTATTGCTAGTAATGTTTAAATTAAAAATCGATGATGGTTGGATCTCAGCGTCGTAAGGAAATTAATTCCATAACTTATATCAATTATAACTGAAGATTATCAATTATAACTGACGTTTTCTGAGCAAGTGAATGGGATGAGCTGTACAGGTAGAACTCAACTAAATTGCAAATTATGACATAATGGTTTTGATTTCTCACAGTTGGTTATGAAAGTGATATGCAACAAAACTGGTCTTTCGAACAAAAATATTTCCCCTCGCTTAAAAGACACTTAGAACTGACGTCGAGTTTCTGCAATAAATTATCTTCTGAAGACAGCGAAAATATATTTAGGGGCTATCTGGATATTTAGAAAATTTAAACGGAATAGTATTAGCTCGATTTTCTAAATTTCGGAATTTGTAGAAAACACTGCAGTTTATTTCAAGACCTCGTTTTCCTAAAATGGATGATCTTAAGGTGACATTTATTTGACTGGTTGTATATTGACAATTTTTAAACGGAATATACAAAATTTCAAGGAAATTCTACGTGGCTGAGCAGATTTGTCTAAATTAGTGAAGCATTAGAAGAAATGGAGTGTGCAGATTGCAGATATTGCATCCAAAAGTCAGAAAACTTAATCCTTGAACAATGGAACGATCTGCCACAAAAGTCTTCTGCCATGAAAAAATTTGCTTTATAATGTTTTTTATTGTCCTCATAAGCTTGTGAGCAGGTGTTTTCACCAATGAGCTCTGTAAAATCGATTGTAAGAAGCCGCCTTGTTTCGGATTTTAGTGAATCTTATAATATGATTAATAATATACGTGATAATTTATAATAGTTCAAGTGTTTCAAAATAGTTCAATAGTTTCAAAATATAATTCGGTCAAAAGTGTTTAGAGGTGATTTTAAAAAAGAAATATATATCAAGTGGCACGTTGAACACCTGAAAGCAATAGATCGTAATTCAACTGGCAAACTAATCGGAAAAGATTCGCCACTGTTGTATTGAATCAGATTTTGTATTTGCTGTTTTCCTTTGGCCAAGTGTTCAAATGATTCACTCCGGGAATTTTGATTTTCAGCGCTGTTTTCTCTTTGATGCGTTTGAAAGTGAGATGTTTATTTTACTTGTTTATTCGTGTCTTTTTTTTTCTCTCAGCAGATGATTATATAGTAAACAGCCATGTTTTAACTCATATGCGACGGAATACAGTAGTATCCTTTTTAACCGGCTGCAACGATACAGCGCCGATTCCGGATAAGAGGTTTTTCAGTATAATTGAATATGTATTTCTAGAGTATATTTTCTTACTTGGTTGTGTTTTTCTTACTTGGTTGTGTTTTTCTTACTTGGTTGTGTTTCTTACTTTCTTACTTGGTTGTGTTTTTACTTGGTTGTTTTTTTACTTGGTTGTGTTTAGTATATTTTCTTACTTGGTTGTTTTGTGATGTATCTGTAGATTTCTGGCACACGATGTCCGTCGATAGCTTTTTTTTTTTTTTTCTTAATCTATCGGCCAGAATTAAATAAATACTATAAAAAATCATACAGATCATTTAAAATTAAAACACTTAACATGATTTTATAGTTCAGAAAAAGGCAACTAAATGAAATGAAATTAACGAATTTCTTAGTACGAAAGGATGTGCCAGGAGTGGCCAGAGAGCGGGTCGCAAGCCGCTTGCTGCTCTTAAATATAATAGGCAAATAAAATACATGTATGAAATATGGTAAGCTAAAATTACCAATGTCCAAAATAATGTAATTAATTTATTTCTTTTTACAAAGTGACCTGACGTTTAGAATGACTTTTAAAATGGTATAAATATGTACTTTTGGAATACCTAGTTGCGGCTCTCGAACTTTCCTGAATTCCAGCAGGCAGTTCTTACCGACACGAAGCTTGCCCATCCTTGGCATAAAACTGAATGTCAATTTGCTTATAAGTTAATTAGTTTTAAAAATTTGCTCTGTGTATAGTAAAGCTTCATAACATCATAGAATGACATTTTCTGGGAAATCTGATGAAAATTTGCAATTCTTCGTCAACTTTCTTGCTCTGCGTCTCGTCTTCATCTTCATTCTTCTCCTTCTTATCGTCCTCCTTTCTCAGCACATGTCCGATTATTACTTTATTATCTTGACAGAGTGTTACGGAACAGAATTTTCTAAATCCATCCAGTTCCGCACCTCCTCCTTGCTAACGCTTATTTTCTCCGTATATATATAAGTAAATTTAAGATGCCTGACGTGGGCGCCGGACGTATCTTTCTAGGAAAAAGACAAGTTAACATGTCGTCCTTCAATGCGAATTGTTTCTGAAAATGGTGGACACTTCCTTAAAAGTTCGCACATGAACGGGGCATGAAAAAGGATCGCTGCTTCACCCTTAATATTTTTGATAATTCCTTGATCCACTATTTGGATTGAGTGGCAGAAACGAAGCACAATGTTTTCAACATCTAAGTCTTCAGATCAAATCCCATGACATAAATTTTTATTTCATAGGTTTAAATTTCGGATTTAAATCTAGAAGTTCCAATAGTGCCGATATTTTGATATTGCCGGTTACTGGATGCCGGTTAAGATGGATTTTACTGTCTTCCTATTATTCTTTTATGGCAACAAGTTCAATTCAATTGCATTCAATCCAGTTATTACTAATCCACGGCAGTCAAATCTGATTTTAATTCTGATTTCGCTCTGATATGTTTGATAGTGACATGTTTTTATTACTTTCCTTTTCGTGCCTTTTCTATAATCCAATCTGTTTTGCAGATACTTATACAGTTAAGAACCTATATTTGATATCCATCATTTATTATCTACTTTCAAAAAGAATAGAATAACGTTTCTGCGCGGCTGCTTCCGAGGTCTTCCGTGACAGAAGAGTTTACAGTCGCATCGTATTCGGTAAAAGTTTTTGTTTTTGCGCGACATGCTCAAATGGATCGTAATGAATCAAAGATAAGCAGTCCATAAAAAGTATATCAGTGCTTTCGCTTCGCTTGCTGCTTGTTCGATAAAGATGCCTTTCAGTTTATTTACTAGTATTCTTCCGTTCATTTAGTTGATCCAGACACACGCTAACAGCGTAAGGAAAAGAGTGTTTGAGCCACCGTCGGTTGATTGCAGCCTGATCAAAGATCTCTTAGCTGTCAATACAGTCCTGTTTAATGTTGATTTAAGGTAAAGTATGTAAAAGTTCATAGGGATTTACGCTTTGATAAATCACTGACTTATCATCTGTCTTTATAGAGCTGCGATTATTTATTAAGCATTGTTTAATATCAGATTTGGTCAATCGACAGCCTGCGGGCACATACTGCTCTTGAAATCATTTTTTGAGGCATGCAGGGAAGTAAACTTAGTTTCAAAAGTGAACAGAAACACGCCACAGTAAAGCTTAAAATTAGCAAAACAACAATCTTGTGTCTGGGGTAGACCTTCAGTCACAAATCTATCGATTTCAAGGGCAAAGAGATACTATACCATGCCAGACGCAACGTTGTCGCTTTGCCTTTTGTGTTACCATACCTTAGTATTGCTGTTGACTTAAATTTCCTAACGCTTTTAAACTTTTGATCGTCTTAGGACCATTTTTTCAGGACTTGTTGGAAGACTTTTCTCAGGATTTGTCTTAGGATTCATCTCATGACATTACCAGGAATTGCCTCGAGATTCATGCTAGGACTTTCTCAGGATTTATCTAGAGATCCATCTCAGGACTAGTTGGAAATATCAACTGTATTAATGAAATTGTCTTCATAAATATTGTTAGGTATTTTAGATCCAGAAACATAAAAAATCAATTCGCACACTCACTGGAATTCGAACCACGGATCTTTCAAACCAAAAGTGGACATGATAACCACTTATTCCTCGAGAATACGTGTGGGAGAATGTCATTATTCTTTAACCATAGAACGATTTTTATTTCGCTTAGATATCCGCAGATCTGTAAATGAATTTGCATTATATTTGAGTACTAATATTAAGACAAGGCTTGTTACGTAGGGCGACAGAAACGTAATAGAAATGTTTTCAGTGCTTAAATCTTCAGGTTATTAACCCGTAACATACTTTTTTATCTCATAGACTTACTAAAGTGTACAAATGTCACTTTAGATATAGATACTGCTGTAGAAAATTCCAGATTCAAAGCTAGGCTTTCAAAAGTACCGTTATTTTGATATTGTCGGTTAACCCTTTCCGGCACGCTACCTTTTAAAGTCGGTGTTTTGATAAAAAAAAATAATTAGGCCTAGAGGAGGACACAAGTAAAATTTTGTGAAGAAAGCTTTTATCGTTTTAATTATGTGGGTGTGCCCAAAGTGGCACTCTGATTGAATAGAGCTTCGAAAAGAGTGCTGAAACGAGCATTGTTGTCAATGAACTGACCGATGAGATGCGGAGAAACAAGGAATACAGACTCTCAGTTGTCCTAGATTATCGGTGAGCCCGGTCTGGGCACACCTAGGGTTCGCCGCTTGATTTTAGGCAAGATTTCAAGGTAAAAATTTAAAAATAATATAGAATGAGGAGATTAGCATCATACAGCCAAAAAAATAGCATAGAAATTTCTTTTCAAACAATTCCTTTTATACCCTAAAAAAAATCTGGAAGATTTCTTTGAAAAATGAGGGTCTTAAAAACTAAACATGGCTAAAATATATGGACTGGTTTGTGTTGAGCTGCCATCTACTATAAATAAAGAAGGTTCAGAGTAACCTATAGTAACTTATAAATCCTTTTTCATTCAATTTTTCTGTGCGTACAGAAGGAAATTTTTAGGTGTATCCATACCGGACACACTGTGCCGCAAAGGGTTAACTGGGTGCCGGCTAAGAACAATTTTATTTTACAAATGAGTAACAGGTATAATCATTAAATGACTACTGCATTTGTGCTTTGCGAAACATATGCTGATCTTTTTCTAATCATCCATACTATCTTCCTTTTCAGTACAAACTGGAACCAGTTCCTCTTATGGGCCGGTCCGCCATATTGGGCGATCAGAGAAATAATTATTTCTGCGATGTCGCCTGCGGTCGCGGGGAATCTGCTGACAGCACTTTTGCAGTCACCAAATCAGGACTACTCTGTGAATTCAATGGACGACGACTGCTGGACAAATGGGTCGAACTGCGAGTAAGGATTCTTTGAAGAATAACAATATGCTATCATTTTTATGTAAGTTACGTAAAAAAAAATCTGACCTAGCCATCATATGACGTCCCGCCATTTCCATGTTTTCAACAGCAATGGCCCACCAGCGGCCGAGTGGTGAAGTCGCTGAGCACTTAGTAGTTTGATCGGGGTTCGAATCCCGGCCATCGGGCTGGCTACGTGGGCATTCTCGTATTTTTTCCATGTGTAACGTATTTTTTCCATGTGTATACAAGCCATTTTCCCTTAGAAATCCCTCCACGCAGCCATCTCTCCCCTTAATCAGATAATCCTCGAGTGCTTTGCCGTACTTAAATAAACCAAACCAAAGTAAAGCAAACCTAAGAACTTTCGAGCCGAAAACATTACCTCCTTTACCTATATATAGAGGTTGACGGGAGGTAAAAATAGCGTTGAATATCACTTTCAGGTATACGTGTTTAGCCAAACGTGTGCTTTTTGCTTAATTCTCCATTTCCTCGCGCATATTCCCCTCTAATGTACTTTTCCCCTTAGTATCTTAGCGCGAGCTTCGGAAAATTTACACAATATTCGTGTCATATTTCCCTTTACGAATGCATTCAGAAAACAAGCTTCCCTAAATTTCAAAATAGATTCTTCAAAGTCTTGATTGTGGGCTTTCCAATAAATAAATAAAAACACCCTCGCAAACTGCATGCGAAGGTCCTTCGGAACCTTTCCCTTTTAACTCTTGAAGTTCGCGCCAGCCTAATACGAGAACCAACACATCACAGCGAAGGAAACACGAACCGATATTCAGCCTACGACTTCGCCCAGTCGACTTTGAAAGTGTTCTCTAATTTTTTATGGATGATTGGAGGCCTAAGGAGTAGCATAGGCCTAAGGAGAACGAGCGAGCTTCAAATTACAGGGATGTTAAAATGAAGATGATATCTTATTGGATATTGTAACGATAATATTCCTGTGTATTCTTATTGGAATGTAGATTTCTTTTAAAGAAATGATACTGTAAGAATTGTAAGAATTGAAGGCTCCCTTCAACTCACCTGGACACGAGTGTCCCCATAGCTCTAAAGAAGGAGCCCCGTCTCTCCACAAACAAGGGCAGCCAGCAGCCCAGCCACCCCCAAACAATAAAAAAAATACTAAGTCAAAAATAATTAAGCACATCTAACACAAAATTACAAACAAACAAAAACAATAACACCAACCAATAAATAAATAAATAAATAAACACAAATTTACAACATAGAGCAACCCCAGATATCTAAAACCCATATAAATACAGAATTCAATTTTTACAGAAGATTCCTACAAGCGCCGTATTTTCATTGATAAACTTCATTTGAGCAATAGTATATGATTTAAACACTTTTAAATTTATGGCACTTACAATTAAAATCGGTAATGTTAAAAATATGTCTAATAGGGGCTGTTAAACTACAATCAACCACAAAATGCCTAGCATCGCCATCAACCTGACAACTATTACATAGTTTATTTTTCGGCAAATTAAATCGGTTGAAATAGAATGGAAACCTACCATGTCCAGTTAAAACCTGATTAACATCAATATTGTTCATACATTTCATCTTATTCGTGATGTTAATCAGTTCCATAAATCCTTTGTGTTTAAGTGAAGAGAACCTCTGCATTTTCCATTTGTTAACATAAAACTCTTTCATTCTTCGAATAGCAATTTTCTTCGAACCTGTTACTTCAATATCCATTGCATTGACATTTGAGACCGCCTGCTTGGCCAGGCTGTCGGCCCTCTCATTACCAATAAAGCCTATATGGGCTTGATAGCTAGTTTATCTTTGACTATTTTTCATTTGTTACCTTCTTAATGCAACGGAAATTAAATTATTCGTATAACTTTCCCCTCCCGATTTTCGGACAGTAAAATTAGTAAAAAAAAAAAAAAAAAAGGGGGGGGGCTGGGAGAAATGGACGAGAAAACACGTCATTTGATTTGACTGTTGAACTTAAAACACTTCATTAGACTCTGACTGCTAATAAGTATTTATCTTCTTTCACTGTTAAATTTGTATGTGAGACATTTAGAAACCTGTGTTGCTTTCATTTTAAATTAATTTCAATTATTTAATTCTTCGCAGAATGAATTTGAAATATATGGCTCGGGGAGCCGCAAATCGACACGATATCATTTTAGAAATGTGGGAAATACTCACTTAAAAACGAAATTTTCGAGCAGTAAATTTGCCAATATTTAATATTACGATGTATAACTTTGTTTTATACTCTTTTTGTAGGTTCGAGGAGCTACCAATCGAGTTTATCATTTTAGCATTGTGGGAAAAACTGACGGTACTTTTCCGTTTCGCCAGCGCAAATCCCGCCAAGCAGACTTTGTTGGCGACAACATACAGTACACACATAAAAAATGTAACAAATATTAGTTCTAAGAATTTGTTATTTTGAAAGCGCAAACATTTTAATATGGTTTAAAATTTTGTAAAAACCAATAAATAAAGACAATAAATTTGTAAAAAGACATTAATTTAAGAATTTACTGCGCTATCATGGTTCAACATCCTGACTCTCCAATTCGTATCACGTGACCACAAGTGATTTCATCTCACTTAAACTACGCTACAAAAATATAATTCTCTCAGTAATTATCTACATTCATTTCAAGTTAAGTCTTAATTTGGAATACAAGTTTAAATGCAAGAATTATTTCAATTCGTACGAATAGCTTACTCAGAAATTATGTAAAACCGCAGTGCTTTACTTCGCTAGTGCATTCTCATTAGAATTGATGAAATTAACCCTTAATTTTTGCCTTTTCTATATTTTCGCCTTCGGGTGAGCGATGTGATTGCATCCTAATTGACTTAATTACCGCGACTGGTCTTATGGCAGACATAAAATTTAATTATCTTTGTAAATACTCTATGTCATTGTATGCCAGTATTGAAAGAAACAATCAATCTCGTAAGAAATGGCTGCGACTTCTTTTGAAAATGAGGCGTAAAAGGTTACCAGCGAAAATATTCCGTTTGGCATCAATTGTACTATTATTAGCGATTTTATCGTTTGCGCCGGCAAAATGGAAAAGTACCAAACTGACTTAAAAATGAAATTTTAGAGCAATAAATTTTCCGATATTATTATTAAGGTGCATAACTTAGCTTTATACTCCTTCTGTAATATTTTCCTCTTTATTGCTATCTATTCCTTTAATAGAGCTGGGATACGATACAATCTATGGACGAGTTTAAGGAATCATTTCTTAAATCGCCTTTTACATAAAAGAGAGGCAACTTCAGTACACAGTTTACAAGCTTTTAATATTCATTTTTGAAATTATATGTGTCATTGTCTTTTCAAGTATTAAGTCACCTAAGCTGAAATCATTTGGACGGAAAAGAGAAAAATTACCTATGTACATGAATAATAAGGAAAAGGATAAGGAAAAAGTGATAGCTTAGAATTTTGTAGCTACAACGAGACGGTTTTTCAAACTCTAAATACATATTTTGTGTGTTCTAAAATTTTGACTCTGTTTTGTTTAGCTGTAATCTATCAAATATGCTAAAAATGTTTCATTTGAAAATTAATCGAGTAGCGTTTGAAATTTATTATAGAACAAATACAGTAAACAGTAAGACAACCTCCATTTTCAAGCATAAAATTTTGTTTGCGCTTCATTCGATTAATTTTAGATATTCAAGTAGTGTTCGATCTACCGATTTTATTTATTTAATTTTTAGATGGTCCCATTAAAATAGGCTGTTGTTTTAATGATTTCGTTTTGTAGTCATTTCATTGCACGTTTGAATGTGTGATAATCCATTAAAAGAATTTAAAGTTATTTAGACAAGAAGTTTAGGCTAAAATGTTATTATTTATTTGTCTTTACAAAATTTTGCTTTCGTTTCTCTTCGTTGATCGCCATTTGCAAAGAAATGCTTCTGGTTTCAGATATCTGTGGCGTATAGCATAACCGTTGGAGAGAACCTGATTCTGGTTGGGTGTTCGGATGGTATCGTGAGATGCTTCAGCCCCTTAGATCTTCATTTCATTTGTACACTGCCCAGGCCGCACTACCTGGGTGTCGACGTTGCCAAAGGCCTCACTGGCAGGTAAGTTTACGGACATTCAAACAGCTAATTACTTGAAAAAAAAAAAATAACATTTTCATCACATAGCAGGGATGGCCAGCGCATAGCTCTCGCAGGCGAGTAGTGCGGGTTTCATGCAAATAAAACATATGTATGACACACAATAAACTAAAACTATGTCCAAATAGAAAGTAATTTATTTATTTCATTTCTTTTTACAAAGTTGTGTGATCAGTGTCTACACATAATTATTTTACTTCGCTTCTTGTTTAATAAACTTAATGTAATTCAGTTGACTTAATTAAAAAAATTGTACTGAATCTGTCAAACAAGTTTGCAAAGGAAATCTTTGAAAGTTAGATTTTGATTGATCAGTTTATTTCTTTCAACTGTAGTTTTGAGATTTCCTAAAAACCTCTTTTCTGTTCAGAAATAATGATAAAATTCAAGAACAAAAATTTTTTCAAAAAGTTGGAAACCGATAAAAGTTATTTTTAACAAGGGAGAATAAACACTATTTTCTCCTCTAAAATAGAAGTCGAACTTTGCTGCCACGCTTCTAGCAGAAGCCTCGTTCCTTTTTCAAGAATCAGGCATAAGCTCGCTCAGTAAAGTGAATCAGCTCGTGAACAGATAGATATATCCGTATTACTGGCACACTTCCAATAGGAGCTCTCCGTGAACTGTAAAAGAGCTTCAATTCCGTTTTCTGGAATCGGAATAAATTCGCTCAGTAAAGCGAATCTGTTCTTTGAATCAGTTCCGGAGCGCATCGTCCAGTTCCATTGATGTAGGTGTACCACAGGAGGAGGCCGATTCAACACCCGCGAGAGCGGTCAAATTCCTTCCCAATATTGACGAAGAACACCCTGGAGGCCGATCTAAAAGTATCCTACCCCTCATTTCCTATCACAAACCTCTCGAGACGACTTTTGGTTCTCCAGTATTTTAGTGCTCTCTTGCTGCACAGACACTATGCGCTTAACAGCGAAGCTCAACGATAAAGCAGACAGCATATACTAATCAGATCGGCTGGCCTGAATATTATCTGACGCCTGTATCCTGATATATGATAACTATAATTTATAATAATAAGTATTACAAATTATTTACGCACCACTGTACATTATTAATATTAATACATAATATAGTTAGTAAATACTATTAATAATTTGTAACCGTATATAAATATAATTATTTTATAATTTTTCTTGTTGTGAAATAAATGTGATTAACTAATAACGTATTTTTATATTATTATTAATAATAATCTATTTTTATAACGTTATATATAAATTAATTTTATTAATAATGTTGCACTATTTTGCTTCAATACATTTTACTCTCAGATTTAAACTCATGCGACTGATGTTTTTTCGTTAACTGAAATTTTTATTTCATGTGTATATAACGTTTCAGACAAATGTCCGGCCATCCTCCTTCTTCGAAATACCCGGATGTAATAGCGTTGACTCTGGACGAAACGAACAAAAAAGTGAGTTAATTTTTTTAATGATATTTCTAATCAGCATTTTGGTCGATAGTAGAATCATATTTTCATGAAGTTTCTGTGGTATAATTATTCTCTTATTACTATTATTCTTTTTTGTTTTGGATAGGTCACATGTGTACATAGCGATCACAGTCTCTACGTCTGGGATGTGAAAGATGTGAAAAAAATTGGTAAATCTCATTCATTTCTCTATCACAGTGCCTGCATCTGGGGCGTTGAGGTAAGTGGCTTTTTTACATGATTGAAATTATTGCATGTGCACAGAATCATATTAAAACTAGACACATAAAGTAGGTATTGTTACGAAATGCTTAGTTGAGGTAAGATAGCTTGCCTGCAAAGCGGATTTAGGATTGCCAGAAAATACCAAGGAAAGACAGGGTTCCCGGATTTGGCGCGAAATCGCCCATTTGACAACAGAAATTGACAATATGCCATAGACGGAACGAGAACATTCTGGAACGAATTCTTACCGATTTTTCTGAGAATGTTCTTGAAAGCAGGTCAAAAGCTATAAATATAGCTATACCATGCCTGTACGCGCAGTAGCAGTTTTAGCGTGAAGAGTATCTTGAATGTGCCGAGTTCAGCAGCAGTGCTTTGAGATCAGCTTGAGAGCGATCGACCGAGTCGAGAGTTGTACTTTAGTACTTTGCCGTAAAGCTGTCTTCACCGTTATAGCTTGAAGACTGTGTTGTTGATTGTTTCAGCGTGTTTATCGTAGTTTTTCGACGGCTGTAAATGTATCTTATGAACTCTCCTGCGTAATACTGGCGAATAAATTATGTTTTGTTCCTTCATCAAGTGTTGTCATGAACCACTCCAAATTTACGAATCGTAGAACGCAGCAGTATTAAAAAAAATGCGTAATGATTTTAATGAGACCAGTTAATATAATTTCATACAAATATACATCGTATTCGCAAAAGTCCTTATCCAGCCTTTATTTTCGCAATCGTTGATTACAAAATTATGAATACTGCTGTAATAAAGCGTTTAGATTTGCAAAGGATTTGATGAACTTTATAAATGGCAATAGAACAACAATACTGGGAATTTTGGTTTGATAATTTTTACTGTATTTCTGTTTTAATCTTTCGGAAAGTAATTCCCCCCCCCAGCAGAAAGCTTAATTGTATTTTTTACAGACAACTTCACACTTAAGCCGCATAATCATTATATATTTTGACAGCAGATATAGTAAGGTTTGCCTGTGGAAAAGCTTCATTAATTTTACACATTAGTTTTTGGTTGGTACCTTTTCAAATACTGGAAGTGAAAAACAGCATTTTCAGTATATTTTACTTTTTTACCGTCAAAAAGGTTAAAATAATGTTTAAACAAGAAAAAAAAATTATTCAACGTGTATGGAGAAGATGTACTGACAGAACGCTAGAGCCAGAAACTGGTTTGCAAATTTCCGTCCGGCAATTTTGATCTTGAAGGATCTTTACACTATGCGTATATCCTTTGCCCAATTAAAATATAATTACCTAATCATATATCTAATGATGTATTTAGATTGCTTAACATTTGTAGCTTTGAAGGTATAAGCATTCGCGTGCACCTCAAATAGCGAAATAGCGTCTTAAATTTTTGCTTTTCCATCAGACCATTAACCCTTTCTGGCGCGCTACTTTTTAAAGTCGGAGTTTAAAAAAAAAAGGTAGGCAGTCTAATTAGGCCTAGAGGAGTACACAAGTAAAATTTTGTGAAGATAGCACTTATCGTTTTAATTCTGTGGGTTAATCAGTGTGCCCAAAGTGGCACACTGATTGAATAGAGCTTCGAAAAGAGTGCTGAAACGAACATTGTTGTCAATGAACTGACCGATGAGATGCGGAGAAACAAAGAATACAGACTCTCAGTTGTCCTAGATTATCGGTGAACCCGGTTTGGGCCACATCTAGTGTTCGCCGTTTGATTTTAGGCAAGATTTCAAGGTAAAAATATAAAACTAATATAGAATAAGGAAATTAGCATACAGCCAAAAAAATAACATAGAAATTTCTTTTCAAACAATTCCTTTTATACCCTTAAAAAAATCTGGAAGATTTCTTTGAAAAAAATGATTTGTCTTAGACCTTTTATTTTGGATAAATATTTCGTTATTTCTCTCATGCACCTCAAAATGATATTTGAGATTACTATTGCTTCGAATAAATAAGCGCAAAAAGTTATTTTTAAAACGACTTGTACTAACTATATGAACCGTGCAAAATTTATGTAAACTTAAGTATATATAATAAAAAATTAATACCACATTTGAATTTGCTTTTTTATAATGGTGTAATACTATAAGAACTATTGCTTTTAGTTAGTCACTTATATATTTTAACAGCGCTATTAAGATTTGTCGTTAGCACCGGGGGAGATATTAATCTCGAAACTCACTTTTTGCCTGTATCATTTTTGTGTTCGAATCACTTCTCAATTTGCTGTCAAATATTGTCGCGATGTATTATTTAAAAAAGCAATAAATAATGAAGAATTTGTGCGTATGTATGTTCCTCGCGTTGTGTGAAGACGACGGTAATTAGAGCCACCTAATTATTAATACACGTAGTCTCCACCCGAACATGAGTATATCGAAGTCCGAATTTTGAATTTCGAATTCGGTTTTAATTTATTTCATATTTTGTATAAATTTAACGAATTTTTATTTAACAAACTCAGCAATTTGAAAGTGATAGACTATTCGAAATAAAACATTTTTATCTCCAGCGCGCTAAACTTTTGCCATTCGACAAAATGTTACCTTTTTGTTTTTCAAATTCACAAATTCGGCTATTTCAAAGCAATATTTTGCTACTGCAGCAAAGTAGAATGCTTATTATCTCCCCACGCCAGCGTGTTGTCAATCAGTACAGCGCAAAATATTAAACTTTCGAATTGAATTTTTCAATGACTTAATGACCAACCAAGTGTATGAAAAGCAAAAAACTCATCTAAATCATGAGATGTCTATTTAGAAATATTAAATATTTTTATGAAGTTGCACAACCTGGAATCATTAAAATCATTATAAACTTTCTTCGGTTTTATGACAACTCTTTAGGACACTAGGTTTCAAAGAAATACTATCACGAATATAAAAAAGGTGCATGGAAAGTTCTAATTCTCTATCGGGAATTCTAAAATATGCTACTTTCAAATGCTTTTGAATTTTATGTAGCGTAAAGATGAAGGAAGCCATACCTAGTAATAAATTTAAAAAGACAAAAAACTGTGTTATCAGTCCAGGTCCAAGAGCAGATTGGTATTCTGTTATCCTCAGAGATAGCATAAAACACCTTAACAAATCCTCTGGTGCGACGTTAACGTCTGAGTCCTTTCAGATTTTCTTTCTCTCCTTTCTGATTTAATCAAGTCTCTTTCCTGCTGTATTATCACGCGTTCGAGTATGAAAGCAATTTAATTTTTTATTTTATAAAGCTATTTAAATTCAAATTTAATGTAACTAATATTAAATGGGTAC